CCATTTATTTTAAACAGAATTGTCTCCTATCCTTCCCCAAAGAAAAGTAACTAACCAACCTCCTTTTTCAGAAGCTGACTAGCTGAGATGCATGAGAGGACTTCAATCAGCCCTCAACACCAGGCTTGCAGCCAAGCAAAGCTGTATTTTTGAGGCATCTGTAACAAACAGTTAGGGTTACTGATATTTATGCTTAATGCAGTACTAGTTCCTCTCCTGCCACAGTAACAGCTCAAAGCTCAGGTGCCTGTACATACAGAAATGGCACAGTACTCTGGATTCTTTGGAGGAGGTTCCTTGCTTTCAAAGCTTTCAGAACAGGATTTATGCATAGAAGTAGTCGTCATTTTTGCACATTTGTTTCTGTTTCCGTATCAGTATCATAATAAAAAACATTAGAATGTTTGTGGTAGGGAATATAATGCAATAAATCTGGCAAGAAGGTCTTACTGTGAATGACTTATTGTACAATACACTGGGTAACATGCTAATAGCATCCCAGCTGCATCCTTATCCTTACTGTAAGCTGTAACCCACAGTTTGAGAGATTTGTTTAAACAAGATGATGGCTTCCCACCAGTAGGGTGGGCTTCCAGCAGCCTGCCTTCCCTTCCCCTAGCTTACCCTGGCAGCTCAAGGCCTCCCAAACCTTGACTGATGTGCTGTGATATCAGCCCTTTCTGCTCCAGACATCTCACCTGCCACTGAAGCAATTACCTTCACCATTGCTGGTTCTCAAGGGCTCCAGACAGCACAACCTGTAAGAATAAATATCCAGGAGACAGCAGCTGTGACCCATTTACTACGGGATGCTGCTGCGGGGCACAGCTGAGGAAGGCAGGACAGAGGAAAAGCACTTCCTGCAAAGAGAACGAGTGGAGCAAACCCAGGTGTGTCCTTGGAAAATGCACTTGATTTGCAGCATTGCTCCAGCTCTGCTTCTTCAACTCCCAGTTGGCCAGAGATGGTTTACATCAAGCACGGATGTTTGAGTATCGCCAGGAGGGGTCCCTCAAAACTGCTGGGAGGTTCAGACGATAAAAATTCTGGGTACCTGTGCACAGTGCAGGAGGAGCAGGCTCACATGCAGTGCACCCAGGGAGAAGCTGAGGCGCAAAGCAAGGAGCTCCTGCCTGCGGCCGAGGAGGGCCGGGGAAGGCAGCACCATGCCGGGCACATGGAGACAGACCTACATCAACACTTATCAGTTCAGCCTTCGCATTTGCCGATTAAGTTCTGCTGGCACCAAGCACTCGTACGTGTCCTCATCCCACCTCCTGCCCCCCTGCACGGCCTCACGTGGCTGCAGCCCGGCCCTGCTCCGCAGCTCGGCATTCTGATCGGAGCGCCAGGCTGGGGTGACATTGTCCCCTTCTGATGAGGGATGGTAAGTGCCGGCGAGCTCGCTCATTTTATTCACTGCACAAGCACGTTTCCAACTGGGATAATCTCCATTAAACCATCTGCGCTCCCATCTCCGCCCTGCCCACACCCGCTGGGCTGCCTGCGATGCTGCAGCATCTGCGGACCTGTAAAAGCGGATGCCGCGTCCCTTTCCCAATCAGCTACAAAACCAACAGAGACTCAGACAGAACAGATGCACTGGTAGCTCTGACACACTACCGAGCCAGGCTACTGGGGGCACCTGTGCCAATGCCTCTTTCCCAAAAGTGTATGGCTTCCCCTGAGAATAAGCCGTTTCCTTCCCATTATGGGAAGACACCACATCCCAAACTGCCAGAAAAGGAGGGTTGAGTGGAGAGTAGAGATTTTAGCTACAACGGCTGCCCCCGTGCAGAAGTGCACTGCTTGCCAGGTCGTGAAAGCATTTTGGATCAGGCACTCTGAATGGCTGCTGATTCCCAGGATTAAATCCTTTATTTCAGTATCTGCTTTCTAGAAACTGCAACAGAAAGACCAGAAGTCTTCTAGAAGAGAGATCTGAAACTTAAACCCACCTCCCCTTCCCCTCAAGTCTACACAGAAGACACTCAGCTGACCTTACAGAGAGGATGATCAAGAAACTGCACTGAAGCATGAATCCAGCACAGGGGACTGAATACTGCCCTTAGCACTGGCACTGAACAGCCAAGGGACTCAGGACTTCAGCTATCAGGAGCACGACAGTGTTGAATGATCCGAAGCAGAGCTAGAAACCCATCGATCTGCTTTAACTGTAATCAGTGCTTGCCTTCAACAAGGTCTCTGGGCCATGAGACACGTGCCTTCCTCCCATCGACTGGCCCTGCATGCTCTGGCCCTGCCAGGCTTGGAAGTGCCCTGCAAAGCCTTCAAACCTTCCAGGACTCCTGAGGTGCAAAGGGGAGGCAAATAGCAGCAGCAAGAGATGGGTTGGGAACAAGAGATTATTTCAGTATTTCCTGCACTCTCCTCCACTTATTTACTTTGCAAGCCCTTATTTTCCAAGGCAATTTACAAACAAGTAGCAAGATAACCATTTGTTCAGACAAAGGTTAATAGGGGGCTAGTGGTCTCTGAGGACTCTGCAGACACACTTAGGTGAGAAAATTTGGAGCAGCAATAAAAATGCTGTGCAGACGAGCAAGTCTCAGGAGAAGGCTTTAATCTGTCTAAATATTCTCGTTATGTACGTTGTTCAGCTCCCATTCACAGTGATCAGAGCAGAGACTGCTTCCAATGGCTTTTTGGGACAATAAACCATGAAATAGGATTTTTACATCAGTCATTCTTCCTTTCTCCCTGCAGCTGAAGAGTCAACGTTTAAAATAGTTTTTGTTGTTCTCGTTATTAAAAAGAAGCCAGTAACGGGAGAAAAAGAGTCAATAGGATGAAGGCAGGACAGATCGTTGGCAGACTGAAGGCACTTGGCACAAGAGAGCTATTGGCACCATTTTTGCAGAAAACCTCAAATAGACTGTTTGTCCTGGTAGTCCAAAAAAGGGTTTCTGGGGGCCATGCACATGGTAAGAGATACAGCACTACATCCAGAGACCTGCTTCAGAGGGAACAGATTCTAGGTACGATCGCCCATCGTGCTCCTACAGCTGCCCCAAACCTACATACAGTACTAGGACAAAGTGAGAGGAGTAGAGGCAGGCATCTGGGACAGAAGGGCTGATCCAAAACCTCAGAAGCTTTCTCTTGGGATCACAGGGTTCATCTGTCCCCTTGTCATGGGGGAACTTTGCCTGCAAAAAGAGACTTTCTTCGTCCACTGAAACATGGAGCCAGAATTATTCCAACAAAAGAAAATGTTTAAAAGAAAGTGAAGGCCAAGAAAACAGAGCAAGTTCTCTATAGACTGTGATTCCCACAGGATCAAAACCAAGTAAGATGCTCTTAATGCATCTCACCCCACCTCACACCTGCAAGCTCTTTTCCACCACAGACAGGCAGCTTGCAGCTTCTCCTGCATGTTCAAGACTCCGCTTCTATACATAAGATATACATACAATTTGAAGACACAGTTCCCTGTGCTGAAAAGAACTGGGAGAGAACACAGGAGCCTTGCTTATATATCCAAGAAATATTTGTCAGACCTCTCATTTTGCTCCCACATGAATCCATTATGGAACACTAAGCCCCCAAAAGCCCACACAACTCAGAGGTAACGCTGATCACCGGCAGCCTCCTGAACACAGTGACCCTGGGACAACCCCTCCCCCCAGTAATCCACCGCAGACTTATTTTCTCCCACAAGCAATCCATCCCCACTTGTAAGAAGGAGCACGAAGGCACTGAAACCCTCCGCTCAATTACAGGGCAGGAAGGATTAACCACTACCAAAAGACTCTGTAGATATTTATTCTCCAAATCCACACAAGGAGACAAACAGGGAAACGTGCCTCCGAGGGCTGTGTACACAGACAGTACATCCAATGCTTCCTTTTGTTGGCTTTTTGTGTTTTTGTTTTTTTTAATTTTTCAGGTCTTAACAATTATCTTCATGAATTATAGACATAATATCTGAGAGACACAGGCAATAATTAACACACGTCTGCTTTCTCTGACTAGCTCATTCTGCTGGGTCAGGCAGAGTTATTGAGATTCAGGGAAGAAATCCTCAATCTTGTGGAAATTTTAAGGAAGGAGATCAAGACAATTTAATAAAGCAATAATATTTCTCTTAAATAATTAACTAGGCTTTGACATTCAGTAATACTCCTGAATCCCAGCTCTTACTTTTGCAATAATGCTACAACAGCACACTCAGACGTGATCTGCTGCATGTCCCAAACGTAGCAACTGCTAAATGGCTGCACACAGTCTTTGCCCCTGGATTTCTCTGTACACATAGGCATCTCCATACATAGACTCCTCACTCTTTCTTCTTAAAATTCCCACTGAGACCTCTAATACCACTATCCAAAATCCACACTAGGCATTGCTTATACACCTTCTGCTCATTTCCCTCTGCTAACACTTATCTCCAGGTATGAGCGCTCAACTTTTGCCAAACACGAGTCAAGCAGTGTTTGTCATCCTTTGGGAAACCTTGGCTTCACAGCAGAACCACAGCACAGTAATAGATGCTATGAAGAATCCTGAACTAGGCAGCAAGTTATTACTAAAGCAGCATATAGCACTGCTGTTGGTGTCTGTTTACATCACCTCTCAAAAAGCAGATCTTTCAGCAGTGTAAACAATTTTATTCACATAACGAATGCACTCAAAAGAGGTGAACATACTTGAGTATACTGAGAACAATTATCTCAAAACAACTACTTCAGTCAGCCACTAAAGACACCCCTTTGGCACAAACACATCACCCACTTAGGCAACATAATACTAAACATCAAGAACAGAAGCCTACTTCAGATCAGAAAGACTATTCTAATGATCAGCCAGCTACATCTCGGCCATGTCACACGTGCTAGAGAGGAAGTGTTTGGCTAACAAGGCCAGACTGAACTGAAAGCTTCACATTCTATGTTACTCACATGCACGTTATCTCAAGGAAAAGAACCCTACCCAGCAGAAAGAAAATTTTAAAGGAAATAAAGGTTTCAGAAACTTACCAGATACAGCCTGTAAGCATCAATCCTTCGAATTGGCCCCCAGCACTTGTCTGTATCATTATACTTTGTGCCATCTCCAACATTGCAAGAATGGTTGCCAATGGCACTGCTGGAAAAGGAGGAGGGAGAAACAAAAGACAGTAATTAATTCCCAGCAGATGCCTTCCCCTTCACTGCATTCATGAAAGAGGAACGGTCAGAGGCCCAAACTGTATGTTTCTCCCCCCCCCTCCACGAGGGCATGCACTCCTTAATTTCTGGACTATATAATAGAACAAGTCACTGAATGCTATGCATTTAAAGGCAAACCACTTGATGCCCCCAGACACTTCAAAACTCAGAATTAGCAAATTTCAAGCTCACATAAGGGTCACCAAGGTTTTCCGTTTCCAAGTCTTGAGACCAGGGGCAGCCCAGCCCAGATTCAATCTCTCTACTTCTCTACTACTCTCCTGCACTGGTTATTTTTTAGCAGAAGGAAATTGGCTGCGTTTACCCAGTGAGCTCTGGGCTTGAGACAAGTAGTATCACAATGATCACAGGGTTGATAAGCATCACACTTCTCAGCTCATAACCAGAGACAGTAAATACTGCACAGGGAACAGCAGTCAAACCAGAGAGCAAGAAGTCCCATGTCTGCAAGGTGCAGAAGTTAGCAATACTTCACAGCTGAGGACTGAAGAAATCAGGTCAGGTGTTTTTCAGACATCCAACAACAGCTAAACGTGGAGCAGGCTCTTGTATGCAGCAGCCTCACCTTCCCAGCCATGAGTCATTGAGTCATTTGTCTACTCCAGTCCTCAGGAGGCAGAGCTGATCCCAGTCAGACTTATCCCATCAAAACAAAAACCTGCTCTCATTTCTGGTACTGCATAACTGCACAGCAGTAAGCACACTTACCAGGTCACCTGCATGAGAGAGACTGGTACAGCCGCTGCATAGATTGCCAGGTCCCCATAGAGGTAGATAATTATGCAGAAATAGAAAAGGTTGACACCCACTGGAGGAAAAGAAAATATTTCTACTGAAATACAGTACACAGGGATTCTTGAACTTTACACTCTAAATTAACAGTCCACAGAACTGTTTCAAGGTCTTGAAATCACAATTTCCCTCCACAGTTTACTTCTGCAGCAAGCTCCACACAAGGGTCACATCAGCAACATAGGGAACTTTGTTGCAGCTCAAGAACTGATAAGAACTGATGCCTCAGAGCTGAACTACCCTACCTTCACATCAGACACTCATTTAAGTCCATCCTACAGTCACCAGTCAATGCCAACAGGCCTCACCTAAGTCATCTGTCAGATGAAACTGTCAACCTGGAACAGCCACGGGCAAACATCCAGCTGATGGCAACAGATTTGGTGTGAACAGAGCTTGAAGAACAGATAAATGAAGAGACACACACTTTTATAGTATTCCACTGATTCCAAACCCTGTGCTTGCAAACCCTCAGGACCTTCACATTAAGGTTTTGGCCCTGCAGAGATCCATTTCCATAGGGCTGAAATGGAACTGCCATCCTGAGTCAGACTTCAAACCTGCAAAGCTTTAAAACCGTTCCTGCAGCCCCAATGTCACAAAAAAACACTCTTCCTGCTCCCCAGTGTTTTGTTTTCTTAAGTTTGCTCTGCATTTAACTATGAGAATAAGAACATCTTACATGGAACACACAAAACAGCCTTGCCTGGACTCAGGGAGACACTGTCATGGAGAGCTGAAATCAGCAGCTGAAATCAGAGATGATTGATGAGACTCTTGGATTCTTTTCTATCAAGAGAGCCCCAACGTTTCACCATGTGTTTTGCCATCACATTCCCTCTCCACATATAGTCAGACAATTTCTTATAGGTTCCCCTTTGTTTTTATCCCCCCCAGCTCTATGAAAAATTCTGGATGACTACTCAGCTAAGGAGTCTGCATCATTCTGAAGACAACAGCAAGTTACCATCAGCTTTCTCCAATTTCCATTAAAAAGGGTTGGATGTTATAACAAGTATCTGATGTATGACAGATATCACGAGATCCACTAAGCAGGGAACAGACAGACTTGGAATAGATTCTGATTTGGGGATCTGCTACTGATGTCAGGTCTCAGATATTCCCTGCAGGAATTAAGGCTCACACAACAAGCTAAGCTGCAGCTGCAGCACCAGGTATCAACCAGCACACACTGCACCCCTGCTGCAACACCAACTATGGGAAGCCCAGATGACAGCCCTCTCACAAAACTCATGCCCTGCAAAGTCAGGAAGACTTTATTGCCAATTCTTTTATAAACTGCTACTGATCCTCCCTAATCAATACTTTCATTACTAGACAAAAAATGGGAAAATCAATGACTTCCTGTGGGGATACAGCATGATAGATGTGTCCAGAATCCATTACTGCAATAAATGACTGCTCAGTCCCAGAAGAAAGCACCCAACAATGCAAATTAAAAATAAATAAAAAAAAAAAAATGCACCACACCAAAAAGCAGTCCTTCAGAGCCAGCTCTTCTGAAAGATCATACATATCATCACAGCCTAAGCTGTCCAGCTCCCTTTAAGAAAGCAGACAGTCTGAGATGGAGATTTATCCCCAGCTTACCTCCCAGGACTGCAGATTCAACTCCTGTCAGATTGTTTAAGGGAAAAAAAAGCAAGAAGAAAGAACAGAGAACGATAGATATCAGAGGCTTTAAGGTCTGTTGCAAAGCCTTCATCAGCCTTCTCTCTGAAGGCTGCACAGCCCACAGAGGCCTTGGTTTTGTATCTACACTTTGCATATTGTGGGAAAAACCCACTCAGTCATTTGCTAACTGTCAAAGTGCAGAGGTTGGTTCTTGGAGCCAGGACTTCCCAAGCATGGCCCAGTTTCTCAGCAATAAGCAGTAGCAACTGGTCACTGAGCAACTGTCCTTCATCAGGGCCTTCCTGTGCAACCCTCAGCAGAAAGCACTTCAGCAAGGATCTGCAGAGGGAGGTACTTTGCTCATCCCTTCTTGCAACTGCACAGCAGACCAGAAAGTACCTCTGAATGAGGGCTCAGCAACAGCCCATTGCTAAGCAGAGGAAGGCAAAGCAGCAAGTGAGTTACAGCTGCCCCAGACGCTTCACTGTGCACAAGTGTCGTCTCCTCTCACAAGCTACGTTTCAAGCTATGGTCTGCTGCTGTTCCAGCTGACTTCTTGCAGAGATTCATCCTTTGGCATTGGGCTGAGTTAGTCCAAGGGAAGATCCTTAACACAAAAATCAGATCACTCACGAAAGCAACATTAAGAAGAGGGATTAACATCCAGAACACTAAGCAGTTTATATCACTTTGCTAGGAAACGTTTACCAACACCAGAGGCTGTGTATTTCCAGCACCCTCTACTGGTTGAGCAGCACCTAGCACCGAGGCAGAGGGCAATATTCCAATACCTGGCTCTCGAGGGGTCATCCTCACATCCTCCTGAAGCACATGAGAAGAGCCTTCTGAAGCTTGCTTACAGGAGCCCTACCACCTGTGTTCCACCAGCCTGACAGCAGCTGAGCAAGCCTCTATAGCCGAATGTCCAGTGACACTGATAAGCCACATTATACTTTCTTTCAAAGCTAGACCTAAATACTACTACTCCTCAGATGACTACTGAGGGATAAGGAAGCATCTGCACTGTTTTACAGATGGCAAGGAATACAAGAAAATTCATCCAAATTTAGGGTAACTCAGTACAACAGGCAAGATTAGGAACAAGATGCTTCTAGATCTCCGGCACACGGACAAGTCACCTCTCTTCCTCTGCAAGTAGAAAAGTAGCACTGATTCAGCCTGGATTTTGATGCTTGAGTGACTGAAGCTTACAAAGGCCCAGAAGGAGCATACAGGGAAATCGAGTTTATTTTCAACCAGACTCCAAAGACCAGCAATAATGTACACTCCTTAATCCCTCTGTCCCTCAGAGGGAACAGTCTTACACTGGTATAAAGATGACATAATGCAGCGGAGTAAAACCCAGCATGTCTTTGTAAGGTGGCCAGTGAACGAGAGAAGACAATACTTTCCACAAGAAATGGGGCCTGACAGGCTCAAAATTGCACATCTGTAATGTCTGATGATTTTCTGGCTCTGCACACCATTTCAAGTGCACTCTTCACCAAGTTTCAGAATTTTAGCTTGCATTTCTATTATATGCAGCAATGGATATTCATGATCCTTGAGGTCTCTTCCAACCCTGGCCATTCTGTGATTCTGTGATATGGCTTTATCACAGTGTAGTTACAAGCTTGCTCCCTAACATACAATCAAAGATACTTAACAGCAAAAAAAGACAACAGCCTATCATATGCTCACCAGGAAACCTTTCCAACCCAGCAGCTTGTACCCTTGCAGCTCTCTTGGTGACAGCCCCCCACCAGACACATGTAGTTCTTAGGAACTCTCCCCAGAAGCCTGCTGTCTTTCAGATTGAGGCTTACAGGGTTCAAGGAGGACCAAATATCTTGTTCTCAGGTGCTACCAAGATGGAACTAGTAACCTCTACTGCTGTAGATAGCTGAAACTCAGGATGCAAGTCCACACTGAGGAGCACTCAGGTTTGAGGAAAAGACGTACACAATACACAGCAGGACCAGAAAGGACTTAAAAACATGAATCACTTACCTTTATTGAAGAACATGGAAGCCATCTGGCCCATCTCCACTCTTTCTGTGATTTCAAAGATATTTGGTGATCCACGTCTCTCTGAAAATTAAAAACAAGAAGTGCTTCAACCAGATCCTCCAATAAACCCAGAGGCCAGGCTACCTGAAGATGCTCAAGCAGCTCTATGAACAGCATGAAGGTCAGTATGTACTATCTACCACTCCACAGCTGCAGAGTCGCTGGTCCAATGACTGCTGAAGTCAAAGTGTTTTCAAAGTAAGGTACTCTCATCTTAGTGACTTAGAAAGATCTTTATCAGACTGCAGAAGGTAAACTGAATTCTCAATGAGTCTTATCTTGCAAGTGCTAAAGACTTTGGGATGCAAATATACAGAATTAAGGGCAAAATGGACAGAAGAGCCCTACTTCACTTCCTAGAGTCCACCAGAACGCAGTCTGCAAAGACAAGTGTCAAAGCACAAAGCAGGTACTTACGAACTGACAGGATGGGCCGTGTCTCTGCTCGCTCATAGCTGTCTCGGAGGAGAACATCACTGTCAGACACTCCAGAAGAAGAATCCTCATCCTCATCATCCTCCTGGAAGAAGAGATCAGATCACTGTTGAGATTTCCTCTAACCACAAAAAGCATCACCAGCACCATGGTCTCACTTCCAGTATCTCAAAGATCCCAAACAATGCTGGGCAGGACAGGCCAGCAAACAGTAGCAGTGCCAGGGAGCTCGTAGCCCATGCTTGGGATGCTGCAGAGAGCAGAAATGAGTACTAGGAGAGCAGGCTAAGGTGAGTGACATTCTGCTGTCCTAGCAGGTCTTACACACTGCAACACTGTCCAATACACACTGAGACATGTGACAAAAAGAAGTAAAAAAACTAGTCAGATCCACACAGTTGCAGCACTGGTTAAAAAAAAAAGTCCTAACATTTTTATTGCCACAGCCAGTCAGAGCAGAAACACCCATCTCATAACTCTAGCCCACTAACATACAGGCAGGAACCTAAATCAGTGCAATTATACCTTGCCCAGATCCAGAAAAGCCACTAACACCAGAATCCAAAAAGCCACAAGTCAATTTTACAGCAAGGACATTCTTCAGGACTGTCCACTCCCTAGAATACATTCTTACCGGCAGCAAGGACATTCCTGCCTGTCCCAGTTAAATGACCTGAGATAAGCAAGGATTTATAGACACTCCAAATGGCACCACTATATTGGCTGCCACCTCTCCACACTCACTGAGCAACGCTTCAGGGCAAGGAGAGCACAATCAGTAAGAGATGTGAGCAGCACAAGGGATTTTTCAAAGCTGGAGCAGAAAATCCTGTCTGTAATGAGCAGCCCCACAGGGAACTAACAGCCATATTTTACAAGGCAAAGTTAAGTAGAGTAGAAATTTATTCCTTTAATGGAGTTACTAATGAAGCAAGGCAAAGACACAGAGAAATCTCGGGCAAGTCTTATGTGACAAAAGAACTCCAGAAAAATGGAAAATGAAACCCCACACAAACCTTGCGTTTTTCCATTCTCTTCCATCGCAGCTGGGCGTTTGCAGCAGCCATGGCTTCCACCACAAAAGTAGTAGTCATATAGCTTGAGAGAGAGAGATTCAGTAAATATCAACCATAGTCAAGCACTACTGCTAAAATGACAGTAATTTTCATTGTTTGCAGGAATAAACAAAGCAAACAAAGCTATTTCCACCAACCTCACCCCCCTACACACTGCCTGTTTCATAAAGAATTTCATCAGCATCAGTGCTGCTACCTTCTCATCTTGAAAAGAGTGTGTTCAAGCACAGAAAAAAATGCAGTAAAAAAAAATAATTCACATTTCTTTAGATATAAGGAGACACTAAGCATCTGGAAAACACCTTGCTAGTGGTTTTAGGAAGTAAAAAAAGAGCTTTCCCTTTGTCAGAAAGCAAACTTCCTTCCCTCTTTTAGGAATTTTAGGGCCTAAGAGTAGCACAATATTATCACAAAGTTTATCCACTACAGTCTTTGGCAAAGGTACGACACCACCCTAAAGACTGTTACAAATGGCATTAGGAGCAAAGCAGCAATACAGGATCGAGGGGGAGACCACATGTGCCTGCACACAGCTTGCTGCAGGCCACATGGTCCATGGGCTCTGTTACAGCATCCATGGAAGGAATGTCATTATCTCAGCTAAACAGTCCTGTAATAAAAAAAGTCAAATTAATCTTATTTAAGGCTTTAAAGTGGTTTCCCACTGTTTCACAAACTGGACTCATTTATCAAGCTCAACTTTGCCAGAATGAAAGAAAGCAGCCCTCTCCTGAGGCCCACCTAGCAATTTCCTCTTGCACTGAAGGGTCCCCAGAGGGCAAGAGGAAGTCACAAGCACCAGCACTGGAACGAAAGCAGCAGGGCAGCACAGCTCCCAAGGCTGTTAATACTTTCATCTGTGTTTTCAGTTTATTTTGATGTGGTTTTTGTACCCAGGTTTGGAAGCCTGTGCTCTTCTGCTGACCTTCAAGGCTCGTCAGCTATTGCTGCATTTCATAAGATAAATTTACATTTTTCAATAACTATCTAAAGGAATTGCTTCCAAATCTACCAGTCGCTGGTTCTGCCACAGTTTACATTTTAATCAAGCCTATGAAGCATGTAGCTTTGAGGTGGAGAACTTAGAAACATTAATACAATTAGTGTTGAGCGTGGCTACCTCTATAGAGCAGTACCTAATAGATTTCAAGAGCACTGCCTCAAAATCAAAGACACATCCAAGCTGACAGAACTGGTTATCCACAGGAAAGAAACGTCTAAATTCTGTTTTTACAAACAGCGGGAGAGGGATTTTACTCTTATTTTTAAACCAAACCAGAAGAAATTCTATTAATAACCAGAGAATCTCAAGCTATTTGGACATCACTGCTCTATCAACAGTCTTCAGCTCCACCTGCTGCTCCAGCAAGGAGACAGACATCTGGGCAGAAGCTCATGGCAAACCAGCACGAAAGTCATGAGACCAGCTCCAAGATCTCAGGCCAACAAAGGGCAAGGAGATAAACAAGTCCAGCTATGCAGTGGGTTGTTGTTCTGACACACTTGCAGCTACCCAGACTGCTGCCAGAAGTCAAGATAAAACATGTGCAAATAACAGTGAAGACCAACTTATGTAACTGATAACATGGTTAATGTTTAGGGAATTAATCAGTGACACAGGGAAGCATGGGACATTTCCAAAAGACTCTAGACTAGAGAAAAAGTCTTCATCAGACAAGACATGGGGCTTAGCATCCCTCCAAATAAGGTCCACAGGCAACACAGCTGCAGAGATCAGGGTGCAAACAGCAGGCAGACAGGATAATCAGAAAAGCAGCATAAACCTCAGCACTGTTACAGCTCCATCTAACCAAACCCCCCAGCGTCCTGGAGACACACACTTACATCCTACCTCATAAAGCCCAGGAACATCAGGAGAACGAGGCTGACGAGCCACCCTGCTGTTGCAAACGCCTTTGGCATGGTTAGGGCTCCTGTCCCAACAATGAGGTTGAACATGTAAACCAGACCAACCTGCAATCATCCACATAATCCAACGTGAATTTACAGCTGTGCCAGAGATCATCCACATCACCTCACAGACAGACTTAAATAGAGAGCAGACATTGTGAGCAAGATAAGCGTGAGCCCATGTTAGAGATAAACATAGGAGGACACTGATAACCAAAGAGAACAAAGCAAGTTACAGCACATATTTGTGAAACTGATATCCCTTCCCTGTTTTTCTAATTCTTTAAGTATTTTTCTATCTTTCAAAGTTAGAAAGCACGTGAGCTTTTTATTTGTTGTCAAACCCATTGCCTTTTACCAGAAGAGTTCTACAGCACGGTTTTGGGTCTCTCCTTATTTTCTGACCTCAGTCTAACTGATTATGGCTACATACAAAAGTTCCCTTTCAGAATGCCCTATTCTCCATTATTCTTAGGATGTACTCAAGCAGAACTATAATTTATAGCTTGCTTGTCATTTTACCAGCAAGCTAATCAGCACACTCTGAAAAAGGTGATGTGCTTCTGGAAAGGAAAATATTTCACCACCCCTAGCAACCATTTTTCTTCTAGTCAGGAGCAAAAACATAACTGTGTACCTGGAGAAGACATCTCAGACTGTAAATTTAGCTGAAGTCAGGATCAAGAAATGCCCCAACATTTGTGAGCTTGTTGCTGTTGCTTTAAATATAGGAGGAAACTCCAGAGGAGTTAGTGAAGAACTGCATCTGAGTACATTTTTTTGAGTGTGGAGAAATGAACATTGAGAGAACTATTTCCTAGAAATCCTGCAAGAGCTCCTGTCCTACATTCCCTAACAGTACAGCAGAGTCATCTTTCAGTGGTTCTCCCAGGATAAAAATCAGCCATCGCAGCTTGTCAGAAAGTCCTTTTCATTCAGCTAGCACAGCTGTCATTCCATAAGCACATCTCCCGCTCAAGTGCCCAGGGCTGTGACTTACTTCACAGTAAGTGAAGTAAGGACTCTAAAATAAAACACTCAGGTGTTTCTGACTTTGGTCAAATAGGCAGAGATGGGAGTGCTGTGTACGTGGAGTAGCTGCACATCTTCAGGGAAAAGCCAGAGTGCTCTACACTTTGAGATGAGATTCTGTGCAATTCCCGGCACACTAAGATGATGTAAGAGTTGGTGACATCCATCCTTTAGAGCCCAGCTGTCCCAGTTACTGTCTCGTTCTCTGTTCTCCCAGTTGTGGCCTATTTCTGTAGCCTAATCTCCAGTTACTCTAAAATCAATCACTAACATAAGGACGAACGTTTTAGAGTATCTGAAAGCCAACAATGTTGATTTCAGTATTAGTTCTACATTTAGTGGTCTGTGAGTTCAGTTCAGAAGGGGAAAACGTGTTTGCAAGCGCTCGTCTAAGAGCTGACACCATGTGAACACTTGTGGCTAAGAAAACCATGGTTCCGGTAACATAGCAAAGGAGAAACTGGTTGTGTACGTTCACAGGACACCACACAGCAGAAATATCGTGTTGATTATTTTAAGTGAAGGGGATTAAAATAAAGTTACTGAAAGAACAGCTATAAATAGGTAGAACTCAGTAATCTGATGAACACCAAACAAACTCAAAGCTCAGACAGAACTCAGCGTCATTTCCACGCAACAGTTCCCCCTTTTAAGGAAGCTTCACGTGACAATTTGTGCTGATGGAAGCAGAGTACAGGAGCAGCAGGGAGAAGAAGGCAGAGATACTGGGCGCAAAGCCGCTTTTAACGCATTTCTAAGCCACCTCTCAGCGGACGCAGCCCGGTGGCACAGGAGTGCACGCGCGCCGTTATTTTCGGGCGGCCTGCGGCACCGGGGTCGCGCACACAGGGCGGCGGTGAGCGCTGAGCTCGGTACTCACATACGGAGAGTAGAGCTCTCCCGTATCCGTGATGCCGCCGGCCATGGCGAGACAGCGGGGAGAACCGCAGAAACGAGGGCGGCGTTTTCAAACCTCTGCTACCGTTAACCTGGGAAAACCACAGCGCGGCGTCAGCCCGGCCGGGAGGAGCGGGCGCTCGGAGCCGCACGAAGCGCGCAGCGCGGCCCGGGGCGCTCCGCCCGCACTCAGCCGCTCCGAGGCGCGGAGAGCGGCGGGCAGCGGAGCTTCGGCGCCCCGGGGCACCGCGCGCCGCCCCGCAGCACGGCAGAGCCGAGCCGCACTACGGGGGAGCGGCGCTCCGGGAGCCGCGGCCCGCACTGCGGGGCTCCGGGGAACTCGGCGGGATCCCGGGCGGCACCGGCCGAGCGCAGCCCGCCCCGCCGCTCTCACGGCAACGGCCACGCGCCCCTCCTGGAGGACCAGCGCCCTGCGGCGCGAGCGGAGGACGGCCGAGCGAGAGGCCGAGCCCCGCGGCAGCGCCCGTTCGCACGGCGGCACGGCCGCCCCGTTAACCCCGACCCGCCCGGTACCTCAGCAGCCGCAGCTCCCGCCCCCACCCGGCTCTTACGGCGCACGCGCGGCCCGCCAGGCGCTCCTTCCGCACACGTGACCGGCCCGTTTCCAATGGGGAAAGAGGGGTGTAAGCAGCTCGCCTGCGATTGGGGGATGATATGCGATCACGTGAACGCTGTGGGGACGGGGCGACGATGACGTCACCGTCCGCGACGGGGAAGGAAGTGGAGTTTGTGCGCGTGCGTGCGGTGGCCGTCAGCTGCTGTCCGCGTCGGCGCAGCGCCCCCCTCAGCCCCGCCGCTCCGTGCGGCTCCGTGCCGCGGTACCGACAGGGCGCTGCGCTCGCAGGGGGCGGCTCTCAGGGCACCGCGACGAGCCGGGCTCTGTCCGTTACGAGTCCGTGCCTTCCAGAGCTCCGCCTCCCCTGCGCCGCCCGGTGATGGCAGCGGGGCCATGAGGATCAACCAGAGCACGGCGCTGCAGGGCAGGAAGGTGACGCTGGTGCCGTACAGCCCGGCACACGTGGCCCGGTACGCGGCTCTCGTCCTGCCGCCCCGCGCCGTCCGCCTTCGTTTCTGCGCTGCGGGGCGGTGGCCGCTCCGTGCAGCACGCGTCCGTCCCTGCCGCTCGGTGCCCGGGATGTCCGCTCGCTGGTGCCGCTCCCTGCCGGCCGCGGAGCAGCGGGACGGCGGCGCGGGGCCGGGTGGCTGGGCAAGGCGAGGCGCCGTGCGGGCGGGCTGTGAGCAGCGCTGCTCAGTTGTCAGCAGTGCGGTGATGCTGTGTGAAATCAGTGTGAAATGCAGTGGAAGTTGGTGCTGCTCTTCAGACAAAGCTGCAGGATCAGCAGACGTTGCTGAATGTCCAAGGAGAACGCCGATTCGGGTTTTATGTTAAAAAGAGATTTGCAGATGCTTTTAAGGTGCTGTGAATGCCAGGCTGGCATTTCTAGGACAGCTTGCTGACAGGTGGCAGGCAGATCCTCGGAACACTTATGGAAGCCTGACTGCAGTACCATCATTAAGCCACTGGTCTGGGTCTCTTTTCAGGTACCATGAGTGGATGCAGTCAGAGGAGCTGCAGCGCCTGACCGCCTCAGAACCACTGAGCCTGGAGCAGGAGTACGAGATGCAGCGCAGCTGGAGGGATGATGCAGACAGTGAGGGTCTTAAATGTTCTCTGAGGGCGGGTGGAAGGGCTGAGAGGGTCCCTTTCTGTGCTGGAAAGGGCACGCAGTGGGCTGGGAGCGCCTGCTGAGTGGGCTTTGCCAGCAGCCGGTGTGGTTGTGAGGCTGGCTTTCTGTTCAGCAGACAGCTTTGCCTCAGTACTGCAGCACATTGGCTCACTCTGTTCATCTTTACAGTTTCTGTATTTTGTGGGTCTCTTGGTTCCTTCATCTTCAGTATTTGGAGTGAATAATGGCAGTTTAAAGCAAGGGAAGCACAGCTGGGGTGACTTTTTAGGGAGACCAGAGCATGTTTGTAGCCAGTATATGCTGAGTGAATTAGAGAACGTCCAGGGCAGTTGGTGTCCTTCTTGTGTGTTTTTCAAAGATAACTGATTTGCTTTGCGCAGCGTTATCTGATCAGCTGCTGCACAGTCACCACTCCCCGGTTCTGATTGTCATCAAAACATGGAAGGGAGTTGTATTTTTCCCTGAGAAATGGAATGGCTTTATAATTACCTAGTTGAGATGTGTTGTCTGAATTGGTTCCCTGGCTGCATTACAGGTAATGAATCACTGCCCATAAAAGCCTTGTAGAAGTACAGTGAGCAGCAAAATACTGAGGCTGGCAAAAATCTCAGCCTGGAACGTTTGTCTCAGCTGGCATTAAAAGCCTTGCTGAAAGCAGCAGTAAGACTGACTGGTGAATCACTAAGTCTTGATGTCGTGTGCACCAAACAATTCTTTGCCCAGACTTGTTGCAGAAAGGGAAAGCAGTGAGACCTCCATCAGGGAATGAAGATTTCCACGCTCCTTTCATACTTGTTTCCAGTCTTAGTGCCTGCATAAGCAGACAGTGATTTCTAGTGATTTCCATTTCTAGCATTGGAAGTAGGTGTGCTTGAGATGGAAAGTTCAATTATTACCACTTCCTCACTGTTAACACGTAGAAACTGCTGTCACTTTGTCCATTGCATGCCTTTACTTTCAGCCTTCAGTACTATGTAAGTAACTCTTAACGTGCCCTAAGAATGTATTTTTGTTCCCCCCAGAGTGCACCTTCATCGTGCTGGACACAGAGCGGTGGTCTGAGCAGGCACGTGGGGATGAGGAGTGCATGGTGGGGGATGTGAATCTCTTCCTCACTGACACTGAGGATCCAACTTTGGCCGAGATTGAAATAATGATTGCAGGTGAGGTTCAGCTTGCTGTCTCGGGTCTTTGTCCCCTTGGCTAAAGGCAGCTGTAGACAGATCACAGAACCACAGATATTATTGGAATTTTTTGTTCTCATTGCATTACTGCTGCTGTTCAGCCCTGAATGGCATCCATTGCTGGTCTGGGTCACAGTCTTTTCTGAAAAGCATCCAGCACAGATGCTTTGTCTCAGGTAACAATGCTGACTTCTGCAGCTCTGTCTTTCAGAACCCAGCTATCGTGGCAGAGGATTTGGCAAGGAGGCGACTCTGATGATGATGTCCTATGGTAAGGATGGCTCAAGGCGAGGCTAAAGTTGTGATGTGTTCTAGAAGCACGTATTCCTTTACACAGGGTATTAAGAGGAGCATCTGCCTCAGAAGTTGCAGCCCTGTGTCTTTGTAGATATGGCAGCCAAGCGGGTAACAGTAATTTTTGTCTTTCTGGTTTCTTTTGTAGGAGTGACAGACTTAGGCATCACCAAATTTGAGGCTAAGATTGGTCAGGAAAACGAAGCCAGTATCTGCATGTTCAAGAAGCTTCATTTTAAGGAGGTGTGTCGACAGCCTGGCTTCTACCCCCATTGTGAGCAGTGTTTGTCCTATGGGTGGGATGGAGCTCTGTTTCTTCTGTGTGATACAGGTTTCTGTGAACAGCGTTTTCCAAGAGGTGACACTGAGGCTGGATGTCAGTGACCAAGAGAGACAGTGGCTCCTGGACCAGACAAAACATGTGAAGAAGAAAAGCTACATTGAAGAGAAGCAGCCAGCTGGGGTGCTGGATGCTGACAGATAGAGCCAGACACAAACCTGGTTTCGGGGAAAGGTTGGACCTTGTGAGTCTGACTGTGAATGACACAGGCTGCACTTGACTGTTTTGATCTGTTTCCTTTGTCACCTTGTCACTTTTCCACTTTGTTGCAACAGCTGAGAATATTGCCTGAAGTTTGGACCTGGAGAACAGCTGCTAATTCACAGACTTGATTAGGAACAACTCCATGACTTTAACATGCTGCTCCAGCAGGGCCTACAATCACCAGCAGTTAATTGATTCCTGGCACAGCCATTTCTGGACAAGCAGCAACCCGTGTTCCCACTTCCGCTGCCCTCAGAGCAAGATTCGTCACTGTTGCAGAGGAAGCCTGAGTGCTCAGGTAGCTCAATCTGTCCTCTATTAAATAATGATTAAAAAATAAAAATCTCAGGTTCCTCTGAAAGCAATCTGGGAGCAGTGGGGCTTTCTTTGACTGGTGAAAATCTTGCTGGAAGTTAAAAAAGACTACATTGACTCTTTGAACCTCTTTTGATTAAAGACAATGCGCTGGTTCACCTCTCAGCTCTGGAGGATGATCCAGAGGGGATAGGGAATTAGTGAGGAGCACCTGGCTGATTGCTGTGCTCAGCTGAAACAGGGACAGGAAATCATTCTTAGAAGCAAGGATGACACAGTCCAGGGAGATAGCACAGCCTTCTGAGTCCACCTGAAGGCTACTGATTGAACATAAAGCTACAGAGAGAGGAGTTGTCAAACTATTAACGTGATTAAAATCACTAATACAAGTCAAGCGAGACCTGAGCTCAATCTCTCTGTGATCTCTACATAAGGGAACTGGCAGCTGCAGGAGGCTTTTGAGACAAAGTCTCTTGCTTGGGTCAGAAGTGCTTTGGCATGCTGATACCTGTTATGTGCGTGGACCTGGAAACCTCAGGCCGTCAGCAAAGTGATGCTTAATCTCTTGGGTCTGCTGTTACCGCAGCAAGGAGGAGAAAGACACATCTGAAAGAAGGCAGAATGGTGACTTCCCTCCTTCAGGGCAGCTCAGGACTTCCTCTGCAAGGCCTGGAGCTGCCTGCTGCTCTCCAGTAAGCTGAGCTGGGGGTGCGGGGCAGCATCGCTCACTGCAGCAGACACCTTCAGGGTAAGTCGGCCTGGGATACATCAGAGGTCTGTTCCCAAAGAAGAGGTACTTGTCTGACTAGCACTGGACAGACTTCTAATGCAGTTATTTAATCTGAGCTTTCCTGCCCCACTCAGCATGCTTTCCACAGCAGGGAAGCTAAAAGAAAAGGTGAGGAGGATAACTGCTGCTGCTGGGAGCTTTTCCACTGTAACTGCAGCCAGAAAGGCTAATTTCAGACCAGAAATGATTTGTTCCAGTTTTAAGGTATCAGATAATGACATCCCTGTGCAAATCTGAAAGCTATTATCTGGTAGACTCTAGAATTTTTAGTGTTACTTTGTGAGTATTTTTAGGACATCCGAGTCGTAGTTTCCCAATTTTAGTTCATTTAAATAAAACCACCTGTGACTAATGTTAAAACCAAGTGCAGGAACCAAGCGCCTGTGTGTCGTGGTACTTTAAACCACCAGTACTTAACATTGATTTTGTTGTAGTAAAAGCTTTGTGCAGTGATAAAGAAAAGAACAGCTCCACTTCCAGCTGAGATTAAAATTATAAGGTCTATTAATCCTCCTGCTCTTCATCCCTCGCTGCAGGCAGGGATGGATTCACAGAATCCCCCTGGACAGTGTTTGCAGCATTTGTGCACCACCAGCTTCCGAGGTGCTGCAGCATTGCTGGCCTTTCAACCAAGTGGCTGGGGTGACTGAAACAGCACGTGCTGCTCCAGCACAAAGCACAGCCACAGACCTTGGGCTTATAGGGGGTGCACACACCTCTGCTCAGATACAGATGGTGAAATTGAGCTACCTGTTCCTAAAACCCAATGTGTGCTGTGTGTGAGGTAGGAGGGCTGGGTGCTGTCACAGCCATTCCCCAGGGTTGGAAGAAGGATCAAAGACGACCTTCTCATCTCCAACAGAGAGCAGTGTCAGTACTTCTTTGACTTCTGCGGGTTCCTGTTGCCAGGTGGGGGCTGAGGGCTATTTTGTTCAAGAGCTGGGAGAACAAAGTCCTGTCTGGGTAAGTGCGTGTGGGGAATGGGTGCTGATGCTGGAAAGGTGCAGCAGCTCCACCCCATGTGGCTGCTGTAGGGTTTGGGGATGGTCACAGGACCTGCTGATGAGCTCCTGGGCACTCAACCCTGCCAGCACAATGGCTGTCCAGGCCCCCTCAGTGCTCACCTCATCACACCAGGAATACATCTCCTATGGGTTCACATCCATCTCCACCTGAAAGCTGCTTTTCTGGCCCTTACCCAGCTCTGGAGCAGCAGCAATGACTGGAAGAGACAGGATCAGAGACCAGCCTTGTCCTCCCGTTGCCCAGCCCAACCTGGAACAGAGCAGGTCAGGGTTTTTCTCATCCTCGGTTTCACATGAGAGCCTTGCTTTTGAGGGCCACAGTCCCACATAGCCCTGAGGGCACAGGGTGCTGCTCTGGCTGCACCAGGCCAGTGGTTGCTCCGGCATCAGCAAGCACTGCATTTGGCATCCCTGGTGCCCAGGCAACGCCAAGGCACTCCCTGCCTCCCCGAGCAGCTGGGAAAAGCCTTTACCCTGGCAACCCAAAACAACATCAGGTCTGTCCCGGAGAACCCCTTGAGGGAGGGTGGCTCAGCACATCCACACCCAGCCCTCAGGATTGCCAAGTGAGCCACGCTTCTTGCAGGGAAGGATCCATTCCCCCACACTGCTCCGCTGCAGCAGGAGGGCTTAGCGCAGAGCTGCATAAGCTGTCCCAGCACATAGGGCTTAAAAATAGCTGTATGAGCCCAGCAGGGCTGGCACCACAGCCTCACAGCCCTCAGCTGCTCCATCCTCCACAGAAGGGGTCAGCCCCTGCCCCAGGGCTGGCAAAACACTCACAGGTCCCACTCAGGACAGGCAGCGCCCTGCCCACCTCCAGCCTGCTCTCAGAATGCAACCCAGGTGCTCAGGCTCACCCCACACCCCAGGGGAGCAGTGGGGGCAGTTTGGGGTTGGGGTAACCCCAGCAATGCTGTCTCCCTCCAGCCCAGCCAGCAGCCACGTCCCTACAAGGGGCAGATTAGAGCAGGCACACGGCAGCCTGGAACTGCCCCCCCTCTGTGGGATTAAAGCCTTTTAATCGTCCCAAGGCATTAACTCACACTGGGACCAGCCCAGCCTTCTGCATTACTCCATCCCAGCACCAGACCAGACCCCATGTCAGCTCACTATGGCTTAACTCCTCCAGGGGTACATTCAAACAAACTCAGACTCTAAGGCGTCTGCCCATAGACAGGACCCAGCGTGCACAGCCACTTCCACAAGGGATGGTGCCCTGCAGCCCCTGCCCCCAGCTCCCCCTAGCACAGTGCCCTGGATCCACAGCTCCGCAAGGATTTGGCCTCCAGCTGGACACGTGAAGTCAGGAAGATTTATTCCAGTAAACAGAATTTCTCTTCAGCTTGACAATACAACACCTGATTGCAAAACACAGAAACAAACCATCCACGGGAAGATTTTTCCACAAAATATGTTTTAAAAAAATAAACCATGTGATTGGAAAAGCTCTCATTTTGGACGAAGACGACAGTCTACTAAGAACCCTTTGAAATAAGCAGTGTAGGATGCAAACCGTGATTGGCTTTGTCTCTGGGAGCAAGCAGCAGCACAGGGGGTGATTATTGCTTGCTGTGCTGGCTCCAGATACCTCTCCTCTCCCAAAACAACCCTGGGGCAGAGGCTGTGGGATGCCCAAGTGCCTCCAAGGGCAGCTCTGGGTGCACAGGAATGAAGAGATGGGGTCATCGTGGACGGACACTGCAAGGTCAAGAGTGCCAACCCCAGGAGGAATTGCTGTGGTGAAAGTCACCAAGAGCCTCAAGAAAGGGAGATTATCTGGGTGGGGGGGGAGGGGGTGAAACAGAACTGGGTTTTGGGATGGGAGAAGAGCTGGCAGAGGGGATGAGAAGCATTGGGCATCAAACCCGGCCACTCCGAGTCACCAAACCTCCCCACAGCTCTGCACATAGCCGGGCGCACAAAGCTTCACGCCAGGGCTGGAGGAGCACCCAGGGCACCATCACCATCCTCAGCAGGGAAGCTCACTGACCCCGAGCCCCGTCCTCCCTGTCAGGGTGGTGGGGACGAAGGGGAGGGGGGAGAGCCGGTGTCCCCGCCCCGGGGCGGATTCACAGGTTGCTGAACAGTTCGTTTTTCTTGCTCCAGTCCATCTGCGGAGCCCGCTTGCTGGTGCGCTTCTGGTGCGCCCGCTCCTTGGCCACGGCCAGCGGGATGTCGAGGTCCAGCAGGGAGCTGGGCGCAGAGCTGCGCTTGTCCCCTTCCTGCGCATCGGGCTGTGGAGAGAGAGGAGCTCAGCCTCGGCGTGGGGGCTTTGCCCATCCCCCCTCCTCAGCCGTCATCCCCCAGCCCTACCTCACTGTGGGTCTCGTTGCCTTCGGGGGACGTGGCCAGCGCGGGGCTGGGAGGTCTCTCTGACACAGAGCTCAGCCGCAGCTCTCCGCCGTTATCCTGGGGGGAGCAGAGCAGGAGGGAGGGGCTGAGGTTTGGGAACCATCGCCGGGGCTGCTGCCATCCCTCCTGGCAGCTGTCAGATCCTCCCTCCCTGCATGTAATCCACTGAGAGCTCCGTGCTAATAAACACCTCCTGCACTGCCCATGCAGGGTTGGGAGGATTAAACCTGACTTCCCGGCTGCAGCAGCAGCAGGAGGGCTGTGGGATGGAATGCTGCTTCCCTGAAGCATGAGGGAAGCATGAGCTCTTTCCTGGCCACGCAGCATCGTGAGGACATGAGCCCCTTCCTGGGGGCCACAACCTCCCACTCCCCTTCCCAGCATGGCACCTGCTCATGTGACAGCATGGGAGCCTCATCCTGGCTCATGGGTCACCCAACCACCTAAGGGCAAAGGATGGAGGGACACCCGAACCTGCAGGCTCTGTGCCCACTGACCAGGGTAGGTGGGATTTAGAAGGGACAAAAAGGAATTTCTCACCTTCTCTATATCACCATTGGCAATGGGTTCTGGCAAGGGACCTGCAGAGAGGACATGGTGTCAGGTGGGGACAGGCTCACACCAGGGCCATGAACATCAGTGCCCATGGGCACAACAGCTCTGGAGCAGCCAGTGAGGGCTGCATTGTGCCAACAATTGAGGCAGGGAGGGGGCCAAGGTCAAGCCAAGGCCAGAGCTGAGCGAACGACACCCACACACCCTTCATTTGCTCCCTGAGCCATAAGTCCTGTCAAAGTGTAACCACAGAGCCGTAAGCCCTGCCCAGCACACACCCCACAGCCACGTGCCAGCTGCAGGCCAGGCAGGAAGGTGCCAACCAACCCCCCATCCCGGCATAAGGGGACACCCCGTGCCCGGCTCCAGGGATGGCACCAGACCCACCTGCCAGGTGTGCCTCCGAGGGCACCACCCTGCACTTCTTGAAGAACTCATCGGCCAGCATGCCCACCACCAGCAGTTTGGTCTCATCGCCACCCGCCTTGATGGCCGCCACCACATCTGCGTGCTGTTTGCCCTCCACGGACGTCCCATTCACCTGTGGGTATCACAGTGACAAGGGGCATTCCTCAGCCCAGCGCGGCTGCAGCCCCCCACGGATGTCCGGAGACGTGCAGGGATTAGCAGCAAAACCTCATTAAAAGCAGATTTTCTCAGAGTGATTAGCACAGGGCTCTATGGGGAGCGGGGCAGTGCCAGGGGATGGGTGGCACAAGGCGGCCGTCCCCAGCGTGGTGAGCATGGGCAGCCCAGGACCCACACAGCCACCACACACCCTCACATCTGTGCCCTCCCACCCCAGGACAGCGGTGCTCCATCGGGTGACAGAGGCTGATGTGCAGACTGGGACTCAGCCCGGCTGCACCCAGGGGTGGAGCAGCTCTGCTCTGAGTCACCACCAGCACTCAGAGCAGGGGATGCCCCAGGGGAGCAACTCCCAGGTGCTGCCCTCCCATCCCATACCTCAGGGACACGCCATACCTCCGGCCTCCCCCTGACCCCATCACCCACCTCAACAATACGGTCCTGGGCACGCAGCCCCGCTGCCTCGGCTGGTGAGTCGGGGTCCACAGCACGCACATACTGCCCCGGGCGGCTCTTCTCACTGTGCAGGTTGAAGCCGTACCCATTGGGGCCCTTCTTGATGTGGCACAGCCGGGGACGCAGCTCCTGCGAGGGCACAGCAAAGGGGTGGCCATGAGATGGCTGCTCTCAGACCCCACCCTGCTATGGCACAGGGCTGCAGACGCATGCAACCCGCGTGTGGGCACCTCTGGCCGGGCATGGAGACCAGAACAGCCTGCGAGCCATGGCCCTAGCTAATTAGGCACAGTAATTGCAGCATTCCATTAAGGAAGCCTGTTATTATGCACATTCTCAGACAGAGCTCTTTCTTTTGGGATTAAGATTGCCCAGTGAAGGTGGAGGAGGAAACAGCCCAGGTGGAGGGCAGACACCCACCTCCACCCCATGCAGGAGTCTCAGGCCAACAGAGGTCCTACCTCCTGAAGACAAAAGGACTGCATCACCCCCTGCCTGGGAGCAGCACCAAAGGGACCCCCTGCACTCACACAGCAGCACCCACACCAAGCACCTCAACCTATAGCTGCAGCAAACCAGAACCTGCGGGAGCAGAGCAGCAGCACGTGGGGCATTCACCTCCTGGAAGCACCACCCCAGCCTGACTCAATGGCCAGCTGTTCCATATTTGTAGAATCATGGGATCACTGAGGTTGGAAAAGACCTCTAAGATAATGAATCCAACCCCAACCCCTCCCCACTGAGCACATCCCTCAGCACCACATCTCTGCAGTGCTGGGCACCCCCAGAGGGCTCCCCTGTGCATTGCTGCTCTCTGGGAGAAGAAATTGTTCCTGATGCCCAACCTGAGTCTCCTGGCACAATGTAAAGCCATCACCTCTCATCCTACTGAGATGATATATAATGACACTGTCTTGATCGTTAGCTCCTGATAACTGTGAGGGATTTCCCAATGGCCAAGCCACACTGGAGTTCTTAAAATATCCCTCACCAACAGGTTTCATCACTTGTTCTTCCCTTTATCTGTCCTACTTTGGTACCCAAACCAGCCCCAGGGATAGGCAGGAATTCCCCCTCATGCATGCTCTGTGCTGCTCCTTACCCACAGCACTTCCACATCATGCTATGAAATTCCCTTGGCCAGCACTAATCCTTGGGGCTGGCACCAAGGACAGACACAGGGCGCTGGCGAGGGTGACACACTGGCAGAAGCCACCCGATAAGCACAGCCTGTGTGACAGCCCCACAGCTGCTATCAGCCCCGTCCCTGTTGCACAACACTGTGGGGTCAAGGCTCACCAGGTTAGCATGGCTCACCAACGCCCAGCTGGGGACCAAAGGTGACAGCGGGATGTGCCAGCAGCCAGCTGTGCCCACGTGCTGCCAGGAGCTGCCCAGTGCGTCCCCTGCCCTCTGCATGGGGACATGAGATGGGACTGCAACACATCAGCGTGGCTGCTGCCGTGGTCCAGGTGGTTCGTGGTGTTCTTAATCCCAAAGCCAAGCCCAAAAAGCAGAGCTGGCTGAGCTTGGAGGGAGCAGCACTGCAGCACATCAGGTCTCATCCATGGCCGCAGGAGCACCTCCAAGCAGAGCACACAGCTTCTTGTGCCAGAGGCCTTCGCTGCACAGGAACACGCTGCCCTGGGGTGTGGGTTCTGAAGAAGATCCCCCCCCCACTTCAGAGACGCAAAACACCCGCAGTGCCCACAGCTCCCAGTGCAGTAACAACACCTGCAGAGCAGCATCTGCAGCCCCAGCTTGCAGGAAGCTCCCTGCAGCCCTGCGAGCAGCAACAAGCTGCAGGCAGCCCTCAGCAGCCACCTCCCGAGCTTTGCTCAGAAAGAAACATGGGCTGCAAGGACAGCCAGGCCAGCAAATTCACACGGGTCCTGAAATCTGGCACACACGCCGGGGCCCCATACAAAGGGGATGCAAAGCAGCCTCTTGCAGCATCCCTGTCACGTAGCGCCGGGCTGGAGCTGCTTTTCATGCAGCCCACTCCTGCTCCCAAGCACGGTTGGCTCGAGAAGAAATTTAATACATTTCCCAGTTCAACTCCCTGCACAACGCACCCAGCTGCCCCCACAACACCCCAAGTCACACCCGGGGGGCTCAGAGGGGTTTTGCAGGGGAGAGCAAGCACTGCATTCAGCATTTGAGCACTACACGTGCACTGGGCACAGCTGGCACTGGGCAGCAGGAGCCGTGCCGTGGTGGAAGCAGCACCAGGCAGCTGCACGGAGCTGTCTAAAAGCACCGCCATGCAGCTGAAGCCTCCGGAAACACAGTGTGGGGCGGGGGAGGGGGGAACACAGCAGGCTGCCACCGCCCACAGTCAAACTCCGGGGACGGTCCCGTGCGGCGCAAAGCCCCAGCAGCGGGGCTGAAGTTGCGTTCAGCCACCTGGTGCCGCTTCCAGGGCTCCGACACCATGCCTGCTATGGGGTGGGTGCGCTCATGGGTGCCCCGAAGCCCCCCACGTCCCACTGGGGTGGCATCCAGCTGCAGGACAGGGAGCCGTGGCGATGTCCCCCGGTTTGGGGGAATCGTATCCTGCCTGAGGCGTTAAACGCTCGGAGCAGAGCAGCACAGAGCAGGAAGGCTGACAGCCGGCCGCTGGCAACATGCGTCTCCAAGCCTGCATGCAAATAAAGGCGAGCCCTGCCCCGCAAAGCAAACAGGACTCTGACACACATAGACCTCCCGTGCTCCCTGCCGGCACCGATCCTGGGAGAATCCCCACAACGGGGAGGAAGGGCGCAGCTCAGGGGCACAAATCCCTCCGCTCGGTGGCACCGCTCCCAGCGCTGTCCCGGCACGGCCGCTCCGGGTTTCCCCATGCCGGGAACCAGCCCCAGCCCCACGGCTTCCGGCTACCTGTTGAGAAACCACCCGGGCGGCAGGCGGGTGAGCAGCAATATCAGCCCGTGTCAGCAGCGTCACCGACTTCCTGCTCCCGTACCGACAGAAACTGTCAGCAGTAACCGCACGGTAACCGTCACACCCCCACACGGAGCTGCGCACCGAGGCGTGCAGCCGGGCAGGGCGCTCCGCCGGCCGCATCAGCCACGGCCCCATGAATTCCTCGGACTCACGGGGCGATCAGCGCACAGCACAGAAGGACTCGGTGGCCGGGGGGGACGCTGCACTGTGACATATGGAGGATGCTGGGGGAGCAGAGCCTGCTTGTTCCCACGCAGCGTGCCCCGCCTCGTGACCCCAGAAGGGGCGATGAGCACCGCTGTGGCCACCAGACCCCACCGACGGCCCACGGGAGCGATGCTTTCGACAAAGGACACGTCCTGCAGCAAGGGAAGAGTCAGCATCGGGTGAAGCAACACCTCACCCTGCAGGAGGGCAGCTCAGCACCAAAGTCCATTCGGAACTCAGCACCAACCCCACAGCAGTGCCACCACGTCGGCACTACGGGCGGGTTCCAGGAGCAGAGCACGGCTCTGTGTCACAGCTTCCCAGGAAGCGCCTCGGTCGCAACAACAAATACTTGTTTTCACCGAGCAAACAAAAAGCAGCATTATTCCCCGGCAGCCCCAGGCGTCCCTTAGAAACTGCTGCGGGCAGGAAAGGTCAGCTGGGTCTCCATTCCTCACCGCTCTGCATCGCTCTGTTTGTGCAACCGCTGACTCCTACGTGCTGCTCCAGGCCGACATTCTGAAACCGTGTCGGTCCGCACCGAAGTGCTCTGTGCCCCCCATCCCCATAGTGTGGCTGAGGCCGCGCAGCTCAGGGCACGAGGAGCCGCCACAGCACAACACCTCCCCTTGCCAAACGCTTTTTTCATTTTAGAGGCGGTTAACGTCAAACTCCTCGGGGCAACCCGGCACCTGCTCTCAGGAGGTGAAAACGCAGCAGGGCTGGGGGCTGGAACTGAGAACTCCCGGAGCAAACACCACAAACAACAGCAAAACCAAACCGAGCTCCCAAAGCACAGACGATGACACAGGGGACGGACCGGGCAGCACCCCGTGCCCTCGAGTCGGCATCAGCTTCCTCCCCTCCCCCTCCCCGCGCGCCTGACCCCGTTTCGCACCTCGTGCAACACAAAGACGGAGCGGGAGGGGCACGACCCGACGTGCTGGAACAAGGAGGAAAGCGTCCCGCCCGGCCCGACAGGACAGCGAAGGCCGCCCGTACCGCCCCGCACTCACCCGCTCCCCGGGGTCTCCGCTCCGCTCCGCCGCCGGGGGATCCGCCACCGCCGGGGGCTCCCGCTGCGCTTCGCCGTCGGGGTCACTGTGGGTCTTGGGCGGCTGCTCCTCGGGTTGGGGCTGCACCACGAGCAGGCGCACGGCCCCGGCGGCGGCACGGATCCGTTCCACCACCTGCTGGTGGCTCTCCCGCTCCACGTTCGTTCCGTCCACCTCCAGCAGCCGGTCCCCGGCGCGCAGCCCCGAGCGCTCGGCCGGCGAGCCCGCCTCCACCAGCCGGATGAACTGGCCCGGCTTGCCCTTCTCGCCGTGCAGGTGAAAGCCGTACCCGTCCGGGCCCTTCTCCAGGCAGCACAGCCGCGGCGCGGCGGGGCCCGGCGGAGCGCTGCTCATGGCGGCCTCGACTCCCGACCCGCTCCCCTCCGTCTGAGCCCGCCCGCACCGGCGGCCGCTTTTACAGCGCGGGGCGGGGCCCGAGGGCCGCCGTCCAATTAGAGAGGGAGGGGGCGGGGCCTGTGCCGAACGAGGACCGCGATCGGGCGGGGTTATGCAAATAACAGACGGCTTGTTATGCAAATAGGGGGTGGGCGGTGTTATGGAAATGCGGCCCCGAGGGCGCGGGCACCGCGGGGGCAGCGGAGCCGCAACGTTCCCGCGGGTCGCCCCGCGTCCCCCCGCCCCGCCCAGCATCGCTAACGCTGCTCCCGCTGCCGCGCCTCGCGGTTTCTCCAAAGCCGGTGCTGAAGGCGTACGGGGGGCTACAAAACGCACCGAGCGGACGGGAGATCCGCGCGCGGGTGGGGAAGCAGCGCGGGGGGCCGAACGCTCCGCGATCGCTGCGCGGCGGAAGCGGGAGCGCGGCCCGACGGCTCCGAGCGACCCCGGCCCTGCCCGGCACCGACTGCGGGCGCTGCTGGGGCTGCTGGCGCGGGAGCCGGGGAACCACCGGGCTGCGGCTCAGTCCGCAAGCAGAAGCGGCGGAAGGTCACGGGAGGTCGCGGCACTGCGAAGCGCGGGGTTGCGGGCGCTGAGAGCGGGGAGGGCGGTGCTGCCCTCGGTTTCTCCCCGCCGGCCGGAGGGCTGCGGGGCGGTTGGCGGCGCGATGAGCCGCGTCCGAACCGAGCGGGGGCAGCGGGGACATCCACAGCGAGCCCCGAGCGCAGCACGTGGCAGAGGACTGGGAAGCGGCGGGCGGAGCGGGGGGCGGTAAGGGGGGGTCAGCTGCTGCCTCCACTCCGCTGAGCATTTACCCCGCTGCCGCTCAGCCCTGAGAAACGCAGCCGAGAGGAATCCCACGGCGGCGGCGGGCGCTTGCGGAGAAAACCAGGGCGAGTCCGTGGCATCGCGCAGCCGTCAGCCTGGCGCGGCCCCCTGGGCTGCAAACAGAGAAATCCTCCCGGTTCGGAGAGGGAGGAAGGATGCGCTTTTGGGGAACGCTCTTCTCATTCAGGAAACAAACACCAGCCCCGTTAGGGGTGGTTGCAGCGTGGGGCTGCGATAAGGAACGAACGCAGCAGAAAAGGAAACAGACAGCGCTGCTTTTGCACCTTCGGACTCCATCTGCGCCCTGCAGAGCACGGCCGAATCCTGGCAGGACCCTTCACAGCTCCTGCAGCGCTGGGAGAGCCCAGGCTGAGGGGTGGGAAACAGCACAGAGCCAACGGCTGCTTGTGCTGAAGCTCTCCAGCATTTTTTGCAGACATCAGCCAAGAGGCAGCAGCAATGCCATTGGTGGGAAGACAGAGTTATTTGGGGAATGCTGGACTCCGCACCATGAGAACAGCAGGGGAGGAGGTTGGTTTTAATTTAACAGGCCGTGTTTATTCTTCCCCTCTCACCTTTGGACTGTCTGAAATGCGCAGCCAAGCGCTGGGAGGAGGAGGGGGCTGTGGGTTCTTCTCCCACTGCATGCCCCACATCCCGCTCCCTGCTGTGCTGTACAGCCTCCCACATGGAGGGCCCGGGGCAGGGGTTTCTCACGCAGAGAAAAACCAGGCAGATGCAAAGCTTTGAAAATATCCAGCTTTAATCCGTATATTTGCAAAGAAAGACCCAAGGGAAGCGCAGGGGTGAAGGGGGCTCCGGGGCAGGGAGGGTCCTGATGGGGATGGATGTGCCCAATCGACCCCAAGTGTATCAGAGTTGTGCCCTCTGCAGCTGCCCTTGGCATCCTGAGCAGCACACCCAAATATTCCCTGCCTCTGTGCCCTATGTGCCCTATGCAGCACAGTGCCCGAGGGTGTGATGCTGTGGGCTGCTTCAGCCCCACCCGGAAAGAAAAAAGCTTTTCCCTCAAAGAGAAGTAAATAACAATAGAAAAGCTTCCAATTTCTGCAGCTGCAAGAGGGGGAAAACAAAGCTTTTCCAAAGTGCTGCGTGTACTGGAAGTACCCTCAGAGGTCACCGGGTGCTCCAAGGGTGTCCGCATGTGTGGTGCCAACTGCAGCGGGGCAGACGGGCTGGGACACCCCAGCACGTGGTGGTGAGGGGCACCACTCAGGGCCAGCGGCTCTGCAGGGCAGCGGGGCCGGATCCAGGCCTGTGCAGGTGGAGGAGTGCAGCATGGAGTGCACCGCAGGGGAGGAGCCAGGCGCTGGGTCTGCACCCTGCGTCCTGCTGGGGCAGTGGTGGCATCGCCGTGACTCTCTGGCTGGGCTGATGTTGACAGCGCAGTTGGGGCACTCGGGATGATCCTGGCACAGTCCCACAAGCAACGGGATCCGATCCTGCTCAGAGCCCTGCAGGAACAGAGCCGTGACCCTCTGTTCCATGGTGGGCAGGATTCAGCCCTGCTCCTCCCAGCACGCCGTGCCGGGGGCAGCCGCTCTTTGCCCATCCCCATCAAACGAAGGCACAGCAGCCGGATCTCTTCTGCTGTGCCTCGATGTAGTCATGGATCTGGAAGCGAGGCTCGTCCGGTAGCTGCATCGCTCTCTGCTTCAGCTCCCTGGGGACAGTGGAGACGTGTCACCCCGTGGGGACACCTTCTGCTCTGCATCCCACCCTGCACTCACCGGGCAATGGCCAGGAAGGCCAGCTCCACGTTCATGCCGGTCTTGGCGCTCGTCTCCATGAAGGGCACCCCATATTCCTGCGAGGACAGCATGGGCCCATTAGCGGCCAGCCCTAAAACTGCTCTGAACTGCACCCTTCCTGCATCCCCTCCCTGCTCTGTCCCAATGCTGTGCTGGTCCATGCCACACAGCGCATGGAGCACAGGAGGTGGCACAGCTGTGAAGTCCCCAAGCCGTGTGCCAGTGCCTGGGGCACCATGGGGTGCAGCAGGAGATGTGGCCAGATTAGGTTCAGGTTCAGCTCACCCTGGCCAGTGAGGCTCCATCCTCTGTCCTCACCATCCTCTCACTGCTCACGTCGGCCTGCGAAAGAGGGGCAGCATCACCACTGTGCCCTGTCCAGCATGGGGAGGTGTGGTGGCTTCCAGGAACTCCAGGAGCTGGCTTCAGGGAGCCAGGAACACGCAGTGCCCGGAGGAGAATGCAGAGCTCATTGAGCATCTGACACCTGGTAGCGTCTGGGATAGGGAGCATTCAGTACCCAGGGGGACATCTGGTACCAAGCATCATTCTGAATTCCAGGAGGCAACCAGGGGAAAACTCAGCTCCCAGTTGGGCACTGTGTACGTGGCAGCATTTGAGACCCCAGGAGACAGTGTGGGACACGGCTGGGCATCTGAGTTCTGGGGACGTGCATCCGGGATCTCGCTGGACAACCCGTACAGCAGCATCCTAGGCTGGGAGCATTCGTACTGGGAACCTCTCACACCCGGCTCTCAGCCCCGCGCTGCCCTCCACTGGCTGCCGGGAACGCGGCCTCCCTCAGCCCTCCAGCACTTTGGGGTCACCTCCGTGCCTGGGAAAGCCGGCAGGGAACCCCAGAGCCCCGTCCGGCCATGGGGACAGCATGGCAGGGAAAGGACAGCGGGAGGTGAGGCAGGACCAGACCACGCATGCACCTTATTGCCCAGCAGCATGATGACCACGTCCTTCTGGGCATACTCGTGGATCTCTGTCAGCCAGGCCTGTGGGGACAGCAAGAACTGAGGTGGAACCTTCGCCCCACACAACCCAGATGTCCCAAACCCCAGGACAGACAATCTTGTGACCTATGACAGGCAGTGGGGACACTCACACGGATATTGTCGAAGGACATTTTGCTGGTGATGTCATAGAGCAGGAGTAGGGCTGGAAGGGAAGGGGCAGAGGGCACGGATGCCGCAGGGCATCACACATATGGGGGTCCGTCCCCACCGGCCCCAAACCCACCTTGGGCATCCCTGTAGTAGGCGTGGGTCACACTGCGGAACCGCTCCTGTCCTGCTGTGTCCCAGATCTGCTGGGAGACGCCCCAGTGAGGGTGGGAGGGGACATCCCATGGCTCAGCCCTGTGTGGTCTGGGCAGCGCAGCTGGGAATTGCTCATCCACTCCCAAAACTCACCTGCAGCTTCACCTTCACCCCATCCACAGCCACCACCTTGTTCTGCAGGAGAGAAGGACAGGAGCTTGTCAGCACGATGTGCATCCTGGACCAAGAACTGCCCAGAGCAGGGCTCTGCATTCCCTGCTCAGGGCATGGAGCTGAGCTGCCTAACTTGCTTCAGATCTTGTTCATCTCCCAAGAGCTCCCTGTTCCACTGGAGAGCCAGCTAATGACACAGCAAACCCCAGGCACAACGACCTGCCCAGCAGCACCTGGCCCATGCCTGCTGTGGGAAACCCTGCAGGGCTGGGCAAGTGGGAGGTCTTGCATGAACTGCAAACAAATGTGTGTTTATTTGTATGTTTGTTTGCTCTTATGATGGTTGCCCCACGTAAAGCTTTGCTCAGGAAGCACTGTGCCTCAGGGGCTGCTCCTGCTCCAAACCCCAATTCCACCACCCCCAGCACAGGCTGGGCAATGAGTGGGGAAGGCAGCTCTGGGGGTGAAGCAATTGCTGCTGTGAATGCAGAAGCACGGGGACTTCCTTTTAGAGGCTGGTGTGGTGTAAGGGAAAAGGCAACTTGCACAAAGGGTATTTTCAGGATCTTTTAAAGAGTGGCACTTCGAGGGATAAGGATGAGTATAAACAATTTGGTTGCCCAGAACTGTTTGAAGTGGAAATGCAGGCAAGAAGGGGATGACAACAGTTGAGGGATAGCTCAGAAAATGGGATGAGAGAAATCCAAAAGTGCCTCGGGAGGTTGGAAGCAGCTGATGGGCAGCACACCGCATTTCCTTCCTTTGACAGTGGCTAGGAAAGACAGGCTGCGAGGCAGCCCCGCAGCCAACCTCGGCGTCACAGCGTGGCACGGGACTGTTTCCCCCCCCGGCTCTTCCTGCCTGCATGTTGTAACGCTGCATCGTCGGAGGGACGGCTCAGCTGAAGTCAGCAAATAGAATGAGACGGGAGGGGGGGGCGTTGGACGGGATCTGATGGCCTCAGCAAGCAGGATCTGCCGAGAACAACTCCTCAACAGGGAATTCTGGCTCACACATCCAGAACTGGGGCAGGCTGCTGTGCTCTCACCCGGAAATCTATGCCCACAGTGGCTATGAACGTCCCGGAGAGAAAGGCTCTGTCTTTGAACTGGAGCAGGAAGCAGGTTTTCCCCACGCCTGAGTCTCCGAGCAACATCACCTGCAAGACGGGCGCAGGGTGAGGTGTCAGCAGGGCAGCCCCTCTGCCCTGTCCCTGCGTCCCTCTGTCCCCAGGGCACGTCCTTCTGTAGGGCACCCAGGGTGTAGCCCCACAGTGCATCCCGAGGGAGAGGAGCGGACAGTGGAGAGGGGAAAGGATCTGGTGGGGATGCAGCACTGAGAAGTGCCTCCTGCCCATCTCCAGAGCATCTCCAGCCTTGAACTGGCCGTGGGTATGGGGTTACAAGGGGCAGCCCCGTGCCGGTGCACTGCTTGGGCAAACCTTGCTGGATTCCCAGGGCCCTGCCTGCCACAGACACCAAAGCAAACAGGGTGCCTTGTCCCCTCCTGCAAAGCAAACAGGCCCCAGCCAGGCACTGCCTCCCTCCATCCGGCACAGCTCTGTGCATTGCCCCGATGCTGCGCTCCCCACTGTGCTCATCCACCGCAGCCCTTTCCCACACGGCAGTGAGATGCTGCTCCTCTTGCAAAGGGACCCCCCGCCACTCCTCACCTCCCCCTTCCCTGTTCCTTCCCAGTGCAGCGAGATGAAGCGGATGGCCCCAGGTCCCCCCCGGCCTTCATCCCCTCGTTGCCCCCCACCTTTCCGGCCATCTCATAGTCCTGCAGGGACGCCGGGGGAATCCCGTTGCCCCCTGCTCCGCTCATGGTGTGTCTGAGCGGAGCTGCGGAGTCCTGGCCCTCCCTCCTCCTCCTCCTCCTCTTCCTCCACCTCGGGCAGTGCCTCCCGCCGGGCTGCGCCCCGGCTCTGTTACCGCCCTACGCGGGATGAGGAAGAGGAGGTGCAGCCGGATCCCTGCCCCTAAAGCGCAAATGGGAAGAAGGGGCCGCTCACTCCCAGCTGAGCAGCCCCCAGCCCCACAGGGATGCTGCAGCATCAGTGGGGGCTGCAGCTTGCAGGATACGGGCTCCCCCTGCACATCCCGAAGCCCACCCCGAGGGTGGGGGCACTCCAGCACTGCGGGCCCCCCCTTAGCCCCGAGGCACAGAGGAAGCCAGCAGCAGCCGTTAGCAGGAAGCCACAAGCTGCGGCACGGTGCTGCGCCTGCGTCTTGCACAAGATGGGTGCTGGGGCTCCTGTTCTCCCGCGGGACCCTCACACAGCCCCCAGCATCCTCCACGGACCTTTGGATCACCTTCATCTCATGCACAACCTGGGAAAAGGCCAAGTGCGGGAATAGAAGAGGTCCCGCAGGAGTGGCTGGGCACGGTGCATTACCGGAAAATCTCTCTCCCAAAGCAGGCACTGCCCATCGAGCTGCACTCAACCCCTCCGATTGATTTGCCCCAGAACCCCCAGCCCATCTCCACAGCAGTCCTTCCGACCCCATACTGAACCGATCCCAGCGCGAATCCATCGGCCCCGCCGGGATCAGACACCCCCGTTTGTGCCCACGGAACCGCGACCCGCGCTGCTCCCCCGGCCGAGAGCGGGCACGGCGCGGGGGGTCCGATGGCAGAGATACGCCCGCAGCGGCACCGCCTCCTGCCGCAGCCAACCCTTCCTCTGCCCCTCGGGAAACGCCGAGAGATGGAACCTGTATTTCCAGTCCCGTAACTGCTCAGGCCGAGCGGGGGGGACGTGGAAGTTCTGTACGCTGTGTTGCTGGGGGGCTGCCCGGAGCTGAGGCACGCGGAGCTGCGCTGCAGCTGGGGGCTTCGGCACCGCGCAGGGCTCACCCAACATCCCCACACCGCCCGGCCGCAGCCTACACCAGGCTGGGACTGGATGGGGACAGGGAACGGGGCTGGATGGACTCGGGCTCATCGGGCTGCCTTTGGGGAGCACCACGTTCCTCTAGAAGCACTGCTGTGAGCTGGGCTGGCTGCGTGCCGCCGGAGCTGCTGCTCTCTGAGCGTCCCAAACAAGGAGCGAGAGCCTGGTGAGCAGCACTGCGTGTGCTGTCATTTTTTGTGAGACGAATGAGTTGAGGAGGTCGGCTGAGCCCTCTGCCTCTCGGGGTCACGGCCCTGTGTCTAGCCCTGCTTCCTTGGCCTGAACAAGGGAGCCAGCCTGCCTTGCCACACCACCACATGGGGCTGCACGTGAGGTCCTGAACTTGGGTCTCTGTTTCCCAGGACTGGGGCCATGTGCCAGCCCTGCTGCCAGCCCCGCGGCAGCACTGCAAATAGCTCTGAATGGCGGCTGGGAGTGTTTGCCAGCATTGCTGCCATCTGCCTGAGCTTCTGAGGGCCTGGAGCTGCACACCAGGGCATGGCTGGCTGCTGCGGGACCACTCTGTGAGCAGCTGCTGGGAGCAATGGGCCCAGTATCACTGGGAGCAATGGGCACAGCACCACTGGGAGCAATGGGCCCAGTATCACTGGGAGCAATGGGCTCAGCACCACTGGGAGCAATGGGCACAGCACCACTGGGAGCAATGGGCATGGCACCACGGCAGGTTTCAAAGCATGAAGCCTCCCTCCACCCCCGGCAGCCCCCAGCACAACTCCCAGCAACACACAGCAGGCTGAGCTCTGCTCACAGTGACACAACCCCATCCCCCGCAGTTCTCCATGCTTAGCATCACTGACCCCAGTGGAGTCGTTTCCTGATGGTGCACAGTGTTACCCAGCCCAGCACTGAGGGTTTGGTCCTTACCGTAAACCCGATGCCCACGGTGGCAGAGAAGGAGCCTGGAATGAACTTGCCCTGGTCAAACTGGACCAGTAGAGATGTCTTCCCCACACCACTGTCTCCAACCAGGATGGTCTGCGAGAGATCAACAAAGTGGCATCAGCACATCGGGACCGAGCTCGTCCCAGCCCTGGGGTGCAGCACATGGCCGAGGTGCCAGCTTTGGGGGAGGAAATGGGAAGAGGTTTTGGGAGCTGCAGCAGATGCAGCGGGGGCGGCAGGGAGCAGCCTGGCCCTGGAAGAGCCGCAGAGCCGCCAGCAGCCCCGCCGAGCAGCAGATTGTCCCCACAGGCTGTGTGCTGGGTGCTGCACCGCGGCCAGATGGCTCATCCCCTGTGCCCCGTCTTTGTCGTCCCCTTCGGTCCCACCGCCCACCTGAGGAAGGACCCCCGGCACTCTGAGTGTCTGCAATGCACAAACTCTGCCCCGGGCTGAGCTCCGGGCTCTGAACATGGAAGAGGAAATCTTGGTCTGCACAGCCCTGTCGAGAAAGGAGGAATCTGGCAGAGCTGGACCGGGTCCAGAATGATTTAATGAAGAGAGCTTCTCCCCTGGCTGCTGCACACAACAGCCGCTGTGTGTTGTTAAAGCACGGAGTCTTTCTGGGGCAGCGCTGCCCTCACGCTGCATTAACGCTGTGCCACCGCAACGCTGTCATTGGCAGCGCTGCATTTGAAGCAATGTGACAGCCACAGGGCCCCTCTGCCGCCCCGCCCATCGTACAAACCCCCACAGCTCTCCTGCAAGGGGCAGAGCTGTTGTCAGAGGGCTGTGCAGGTGGCAGAGCAGAGCACTGCCATCACCTCCCGAGCTGCTGCTCCACATCCCAGACAGCCCCTGCTCCCACCAGCCCAGACCTTTCCCTGATATTCAGTGCCTGCCCACATTCCTCCAAATCCCAGGCCTGAGGGAGACCAGCAGTGTGAACACAAACGCCTCCCACCCTTCTCTGCCAGACCTGGGTGTTGCCTGCAAAGCCATGCATGCAGACGTTCCCATCCTTTCAGGAAACCGAGGCACTTTGAGCAATTTCCCAGGGACACGAGGAAAAATAAACACTCTGCTCACGGACTTCTTGCTCAGAACTGGACTTGGCCCCATCCTTTGGGATGTGGGTGTTCCCATGGCTGCAGCCACACCTCTGCCATGCTCCAGATGCTCCAGACAAACTGACCCCACAGCCCCACTCCATCCTGGCTCAGCTCCTCATCCCTGCTCTGGATAAGCCCCCAGAGGAGCAGCATCCCACCCCAGGCTCACTTCCCTCCCTTGGGGGTATTTCCCTGCCCACAGCCTACCCGGCTCTGCTCCACAGCCCAGGCATCCTTCCCATGCACAGAGCTGGATCTGCCCTGGAGCAAACGAATGGGAATACATCTGGAGAGTTCACTGCCACAGTGAGCCCAACTGCTGCAGAGCTCCGTATCCCCCCTGCCTTGGCAGTGCCTTAGAGCAGTTCTCCTGCACCCAGCACAGATCCAGGCCATTTTTGTTTTCAGCCAAATGATTCTTTGGATCTGAAATAAAACAGTCCACAAAAACCCTCTGGGGACCAAAACCCATATATAATTTCGGGCTGAGGGAGCTCTCACCATTCCCTGCATGGGCAGAAGGAACTCCACATCCCGTGGCCCCACAGCTGCTCAACTGCTCCACCATTGTCCTTCAGAGAAATGAGCACAATGTGCCACAGACTGACAGCACTGCCTGCCAGCTCTGCCACCCCACGGCTCCCATTGGGGGCTAATGCAGACCTAGACAAACAGCCCTGATTCAAAATCCCTGTTGGGTTGGTGTGGGCTGCAGAGACATGGCAGAGCAATGGTGAGAGTGAGCCCAAGCAGTGAATGCACAACGAGTTCCTCTGCCTGTGCTGGCAGTAAGTGAGCAAAGAAGATGTTCTGGGTTAAAGCGCCTGGAGAAGAGAGGTCTTACACGGCTGTCAAGGCAGCTTAGAGAGGAGCAGTTCCAGAGCCAGCCGAGTGGTGTGAGACTGGGATAGAGCATGCACGTGGCTTTAGGTTGCTTTTTCAGTTCAGTTTGGAGCTTAAGCATGCAGTGGCTGGACTTGAGCTCAAACTGGATGGGAGCACAGCAAGGTGTGACCCCAGCCTGCTGAGAGAGCACAGGGGGGGAAAGTACTTTCTGTGGCCCATTACCTGCTCTATATAGAATGCAGGCAGCTCCTCAGGGCAGCTGGGGTGCTGCCTCAAGCCTGTGCTGTGCAGGGAGCTGCACCCCACCTTGCCCAGATGGTGCTGCACCACATCTGTGCCCTCTTTACATGGGCTTGGCCCAGAGCCCAGGACCCTCTCCCAGCTCCAGCTGAGGCAGCATCTCAACCCTGAGACATGAGCTGTAGGGCTGCACATCAGACCAAAGCTGGCCTGGAGCATCTGGCTTCCAACCCCTCTCTAGCACCATGGATCACATCTCACTCCCCGTTCCTTGTTCCATCTAAGTGTACAAGCACCCTATGGAAAGCAGAAGAATTTGGCAATGAGTCAAACCAACCGAATGCAGAATTGGTCATTTTGTGAATAGTAAAAGTTTTCTGGAGCAGCCCAGAACAAACTTCTGTTATCCCTGTTTTGATTTCTTCCTGGTCTTTTTCCTCCCCAGACCTAGGGTTAGCCACCACCCAGAAATCAGTTAACCTTTGTTTCTAGAATGAGCTCTCCCAGGATTTTTCAGCACACTTGAAATGTGATTCCTTGGTCAGAAACTGTATCTGTTGAGATATTTGCTGCCTCACATCCCAGGAGCAAGAGGAGACTTGCTTCTGCATGACAAGCAACCCAGCCAGCAGTGGCAGCAAAATCCCAAGGGAAATGACAGACAGTGTAGAGCTGGATGGTTATTTGCCCAGGCAGCTCCCCCACCTGGAAACTCATTTCCAACAGTGTTGATTCTTAACTGCAGCAGCTCCATGCTGGAGAGGAGAGAGTTAAGAGTTTGCAAAGAATGAGAGTTAATCTTGAGGCATCCCTGGAGGCATGTCCTATGTTCTCAGTGCACAACAGAACTGATCGTGGTGGTAATTGATATTTTCCTGCTAATCAAAGGCTGGGTGCATTGTAGGAGTAAAGTAGGGTGTAAAACAGGCAGATTTGAGATGAAAATTCGACTGAGCTCCCCCCTTTCCCCAGCTCCCTGGAGGTGCCCGTGCCTGCACAGTCACACCTGGGGCTGCAGAGAAGCAGTGTGAGGGCAGACAGAAAGAGATGCTTGGATCCGGCAGAGATCAGCATCTGCCACATCTGCTGGAGCTGCAGGGCAGTGCCAGCACAGGGAGTGGATGCTGTGCTCCAGAAAAGCCTTCCGCAGACTCTGAGGCACACCCAGGCTTTGCAGGGACAGCAGCAACTCCAGTCATCCTCCGTGCAACGTGGAGTTATGAAACGATCTCGGGGTCTCCGCAGAAAACAACGATTTTAAAGCAAGAAGGAGAGGAGAGGACATCTCCCGCCGCTCTGTGTTCCGTGGCAGGGAAATCCCATCTCCTTACCGCGCCCCCGGCAGGGACCCCCGGGGCGCAGCTCTCTCCGACCAGCGCACAGCAGCGGGAGGAACCGGCCGGCGCTGCGGGCTGTGCCGCTGGGCTGACCCCTTTCCGGGGCTCCCTCTCGTTCCTCTTTGCAAGAACACTGACGAATCTGGGGCCCCTCCCCACCGCCACTCCACGTCGGGACCGAGCCCCCCCGGCGGCACGGGGCGGCCGATGGGCCCTCTGGAGAAAGAGGAGCGAGGGGGAGAAGCGGAACGGAGTTTGCCAGAGAAGTTGGAGCGGTCGCCCGCCCCGGCGATGGCTCTCACACCTCCCCAGCTTTCCCCCCGCGCACTTGGCGGCTCCCCCGCCCTCCGAGCACGCTGCCCTACCTTGTGCAGCAGGGCCTCGTTGTAGCCGGTGCCCGCCGAGCCTGCGGCGCGGGGCTCCATGGCCGGGATGCATGGGCCGGCTGCGGCCGCCGGGGGGGGGCGGGGGGGCGGGCGGGTCCGGGATGCGCCGCTCCCTGCAGCACCGCGGACAGCGGCAGCGCCGCCTCCAGCACCGCGGGCAGCGCCCGGATCCGCTGCGCTCCGCTCCGCACCGCGCGGCTCTCCGGGCTCCGCTCCGCGTCCGGCGCCGCCCCTTGGAGCTGTGCTCGGCGCGGTCCCGTTCAGCACGGCTCGGCCCGGCTCGGCTCTCTGCGGCCGCTCCCTGGAGCAGCGCCCGGCTCCTCGCCGCTGCCGTGCCCGCCCTGCCCGCGGCGCTCCCCGGCCCCCGGGGAGGGGGAGGAGGCGGTCCGGCCCGGGAGCCGGGAAGGCCGTGGGATCGCCCCTCGGCTCGGGCAGCTCCCGCACGACCGCCGGTCCCTCTCTCGTCCTTTTCCCACCTCCGCCGGCGGTTAAATTGCGCCCTGCCCCGCAGAGCCCGGGGCTCCCAGCCCGAGGGCACGGCCGTCTCTCACCCTCGTACCGGGAAACGCTGCTCTTCTTCCCCGCCCTCGCCGCGGGAGCTGCCCGAGGGGTGCGGGCAGAGCTGGCAGCTCCGGGCAGAGATGCTTCCTGCTGCTCCGATCAACCACTGAGCTGAGAGCACGAGGCCAGGTCCGCTGTGCCGATTGAGCCGTGCTTCGTGCTCAGCTCACCCACACTCGGTTGAGAAGACCCGAACTGCACAGTACTTCTCCATCTGACACCTCTCCAGCCATCAACCCACGCCGCCATCGGGCAGAGCACAGCTGCAGGGTCATCAGGGCAGTGGTTGGTGCTGGGCCGACTATTTCAGCTTCTTGGCAGCCCCAGGGCTATCTGGAGCCTGGCTGTCCCAGCAGCTTCCCTTCACAAACACACTGCATTCAGAGAGCAGAAGTAGGAATTTGTTTGGAGGGAAAAAACAAAACAAAACAAAACAAAACAAAAAACACCAAAAATAACACAAATCATGTTGAGAAACAAGAGGGATCTGTACCTAAATCTGGAGGTGAAAGTGAATATCTAATTGAGATCCTCTTACTAACAACTCTCATTAGAAAAATCTGGTGCTTTTGATTAGACTGGAAACAAACAAACCTCTGCTGGGAAACTTATTTAAGTTATGCTGTCTCAGTCCCCTCCTTCCGGATCAGCAGACGGCCCCGAGCCGAAGGAGCAGACCGTGTTTCCAAGAGCCATCTGCACCCATTCAATTGCTGGTTTACTGTCTGTGCCTGACATTGCTAATTATATCTGCCCATTAATTCCTCTGACAGCAGAGATGGTTCTGCCAGGTTGGAGGATCAGTCTTGGCAACAAAAGCTAGAAAAAGAAGAAAATCAACCCAGCATGCCAGGGGGTTCGGGGCTGGCCAAGGCCACGAACTTGACCCAACAAGGAGGAGTGAAGCCCCCAGAATAGCACCAGGTCTGAAGCTGCAGCCCTCCTCACTTCTGGGTGGGGGTTCCTGGCACATCTCTGCTGCAGGAAGGGCTTGGAGGACGTTCTCTGGCTGCTCTCCGTTCCAGCAGTATTTGTTTTCATTTCCTGAGTCATGAAGGAGAGCAGTGAGGAGCGGAGGAGCCGGCAGGAAGCACGGCCAGGGGCTCAGCTGTCCCACATGGGTACTGCATGGGGATGTGCTCAGCCCTGCAGGTCTGACAGTGCAGGGGAGGATAGCTTTCCTCCTTCATTGTGCTACTGCCAAACGTTGTGCTGTTCTAACAGGCAGCACAGATCGCTGGCAGAAGAGAGACAGAAGCAGTGAGAAGCACACAGCTCTTCAGCAGCACAGATGGGCGCTGCTCCAAAGGCTTTATGGCACTTTATGGCTGCTGAGGACCTGACACGTTACAGATAAGTGGTATCAGCAGTTTAATTGGAGCTTGGCTGCCTGACACCCGGAGCACCCTCTGTCCTTTATACAAGGACTGTCTTTCCCTACCTCAAAAGATAAAATCAAACAGAACTCCAACCTTTCCAGCCCCTCACAGACCAGAGGCTCCTGGTGGCTGCAGAGCAGTTTATGGCCCTGTGGGGTGCTGAGCAGCTGGAATCAGTGCAGATCAATGAAATGAGAGGAGATGAACTGCAAATGACAGGAGCGATTTCAAGTGAGCCTGCCTATTGCCTGGTCTTGCTTGTTGGCCACACCTCTGATCATCTACATGTCTATTTGCCCTTGGAAGGTTCTGGAAGATTCTGGGCACTGGAAGGTCCACATCCTGCTGCTCTGTCTCCCTTTCCCACTCCCACTCATTCTCAGCTGCCCAACCCCATTAATTGTCTCACTGTCCACTGAGCTGCTTGTGCAATGCAATTGATGGGGCCATGTGAGCCCTGCTGAAGCTGTTCCTTCTCCTAAAACAGGAAAAATAAGATTTTTGTCACCCCACATCTGTTAAATTTTGCTTTCTGAATTTCGCTGCACTAACAAGCCCCTGGTTTACAGCCTTTCTGGCTAAGTCAGCCTAAGGCACAGCCCATAGCAAGGCCTTCATTGCAATGCTGTCCGCAAGGATCTCTCTTTTGCTAGCTTTGCTAAATCAGCACATTTGAGGATGATTTGGGTTTATCTTGTGTATCAGAGATGGCCGCGGAACAGAGCGATCAGATGCTGTGTGCTCCTTCAGCCAACGGAGCCGTGTTAGCAATGGTAACATTCAGCCTTATCTCAGCAGGACAATTCCACCTAAGCGTGCAAAGCAGAACATGAAAGTGCTGTCTGAAAAGTGCAGATTGTTTTTCAAAGGCACCGGGTGGAATAAGAGAATCTGGGGTTAGGAAATGCCACTGAAGCCAAGAGCAGAGGAGGGCTCTGACACAGCTGAGGTGCTGCTGGGAGGTATGCAGGGATGGGAGCTGGGAGCTGTTGGCTCAGGTCTCCCAGGAGCTCCCACACTGCTCGTGCATCAGCTGAGTCAATTTCTGCCCGTCCCAGCAGTGCTTGCAGTCTTCTAAAGCCACTGCCAGGGCAGAACCCACTGCAAATCTCAGTGGTGTCTGACTGCATCATCCCCATCCCACAGCCACAGAGCAGCGGCTGCAGGAGGGCCCTATGGCCAGCTCTGCTCCAGCTCCAAACGTGGCCAAGAGGAAAACACTGTTCTGTTCCTGCCAGGATGCATCACTGGGCACCGAGCTGCGCTTCAGCAGCGCTGCTTCTCTCAGGCAGCAGCCCTGACCTGAGCTGCTCTGCTCCTCACTGCTCAGCGCAGGACTCTTCTCTGACCACATCCGTCCCAGAAACCAAAACTGAAACAGAGAAATGAAGGGGAAACAATACTTCTTATCTGATGAGAATAGCACGGATGTGCTTGGAAAATTGCTCTCATGATCTCTAGCAAAGCAGCTTTCTGAAGAAACGCTTCTGACTGCTTTCAGGTCACTGAACTGCCCTGGGAATTCTCCATCAGTGAATGCCGTTGTAGGCACTCACCCTGTGCTGTGTTCCAGGCAGAGCTGCTGCCTCTGAGCCTGTGTCACACCAGCAGCACGTGCAGCCGCTGTGCCCCTCCACGTGCAGACACGGAGCACTGCAGGCTCACTTGTTCACCACCTTTCCTGCCCGGTGGTTTCTGGTCAGCTGACGCCTTTGTTTGGGTTATGAAGAACTCGGGTTTACCCCACAACTCAGTGTTGCAATATTTCAGTATCTCTCACATGCAGCCAGTGGTGCCATTGCCCTACTTGTGTTGGGGCTTGCACCTGCGCTGGCGCTTCTGCATGTGTTCGTGTTCATTCTGATGTCTGTGCCTCTCCAATTCTGCAGTTCAGGAGAATGAAAAGAGAGGCAGAGCTTCCTTTCACAGCATGGAAGACCTTGCCCTGTCTCTTCAGTCCATCTCCACAAAGTCTCTCTGAAATGTGAGACATTTGCCATGTGTTGGTGTTCACAGCAGTGCTGTGCACTGCCCTGCAGCAGTGATGTGGGGTGAAGTCCCCTGTGCCACCCTGCTGTGCTCACTGTGGGCTCTGCATCCTCACACCCCAGTCAGGCTCAGGGGAGGCTGCACTTTGCTGCATCCCCTCCCTGCTGACCCCAAACACAAGCCTCAACACCTCCAGCTGGGTCAGTTTGAAAAAAGCCACTCGGAGGCTCATTTCCCACAGCAGAAAAATCCCCAGCCCCGGGGTGAAGCTCTCCCAGACAAAAATAACCCAACCAGAGCCGTGCGCTGTAACTCAGTTTGAACAAGGAAGCCGCAGAAAAGCAGAGCTGTGCACCATCTCAGCATCCTCTCACACTCCCGGTTTGCGGCACACAGCTCACACTGTGCTCCCGGCTGATGCTGTGGGGTGGAGCAGGAGGATGGGGGTACGGCCAGGATGGGGTTGGCTCCTTCTCCCAGGTGAGGATGGGCAGAGCTGAGGGGCCGGGGCTGCCGCTCCCACGGGCGCGGGTTCCCCTTTGGGTGTCAGCCCTGGGGCGGTCACTCGGCCCTGTGGGGTTGAGCAGGCAGCCAGGGCCCCCCAGTAAGGGCTTGTTTGTGTCTGCTGTACAGGAGCACCTCGGGGGAAGGCGGCCTGTTTGCTGATGTGCTATTTCTCTCCCTTGGTGCTGTGGGGATTCTCTGCAGTTTGCCAGGCTCTGGTTGTCCCCAAGGAGGTGAGCGGCCAGGAGGGTGAGACGCTTTCCCTGCGCTGTTGGTATGCGAGGGGCTACGAGGGCTACAACAAGTACTGGTGCCGCGGGGCTGCACGGGGCTCCTGCCGCAAAGTGGTGGAGACCGCGGGGCGAGAAGTGCCGCGCCGGCACGGCCGCATCTCCATCACGGACAACCACATCTTCTGCGTGGTGCTGCTCACCGTGGAGGAGCTCTCCATGGAGGACGCTGGGAGCTACTGGTGCGGGGTGGAGCGGGCAGGCAGGGACATCATGGAGCCGGTCACCGTGAGGGTGAGACCAGGTGAGCGCTGGCATCGAGTTGGCTCGTGTTTGTGCTGGGCGGAGAGCTTCTGGGAGGCTGCTGGGTCGTGCCAGAAAGGAACAGTGATGTGGGGAACAGCCCCTCAGCCCTGCTGCAGTTACAGTTGGCACGCAGTGTAAAGCAGCAGCAGGGTTGGCAGGAGATGGGTTGGTGCTCATAGATGGGTGCGGAGCGCTGGAGCCCAGTGCAGGGTTTGCAGCACTGTGGCCGGGCCAGGCTGCTGCCTGGGCTCCAGCATGGACTGCACACAAGAAGGACGGAAATCCGCTGCCTAAAATCAGCAGTGAGAACCCACAGCTGAGCCTCAGTGCTGCAGCCAGAAAGCCTGCAGGGCCTCTGAAAATGAAAGCAGGGCTGTGACACAACATCGGAGTTTGTAGCTGAGGAAAAGGGGCAGATCCAACCCCTCCAGCTTTGGGAAAGCTCCTTTTCATGGCTGTCAGATTGATGCTGGGAATGGCATCCCACAGAGATGTGGGCAGGGTAGGGGTAAGCACTCACTTCCTGCCAGCTGAGGTGGAGGGGCTTGAGCTCCCCTCCAGGGCCGCCCCTGATGCAGCCATACCCACAGCTCCCAGCCCTGAGCCCTCCAACACCACAACGGAATTCCCCCACACCGCGAACATCACTGCTGCGGGGTGAGTCCACGGGCACGGCAGGGAGGGCGGTGGGGTCACAGTGAGTGGGCACCACGTTCCTGGCATGGTGGATGATGGACACACGATGGAGCCCGTGTGCTGTGGGGCAATGCAGCAGCAGGAACTGAAGTGTGACCTCAGGCTGCTTGCCCTGCTTTGTGGTCCACCCCACAGTGCGGGGCTGCAGAAGGGAAACACCAGCCTTCAGAAGGGTCAGGAACAGCCCCCCTCCTCTCCTCCCAGCCTCTCCGGGCCAGCCCTGCAAGTCCTGCTGCCCACCATGCTGCTGCTGTTCCTCCTGGCTGTGACTGGCTCTGCTGGGCTCATCCATGCCCTGTGGAGGAGGAGGAGAAGAAGGGAAGGTAATGGCACTGGAGCACGACTAGGAGTCCTTGCCCAGAGGGGACAAGGCACAATCCCAGCCTTATCCTCCCTGATAAATGTGAGCTCTGATGGTCCCTTCTCCCCAACTCCAGCCCTACAGAAACCCCTGGGATTGGTGGGAAGCTCCCAGCTGTGCTCACCGGCAATGCAGGCACAGCAGCACCATCAGGTAAGTGCACGACCACCCCCTGGAGCCACAGCCCCCCAAACGTCCCCTGTAGCTCCAGGCTGCTGCGGCTGCACAGGAGCAGGGCTGAAAGCGGTGGGGACATGAGTGGGGCCGTGACCCGCACTGCAGCCCCGTGCTGGACAGGCTGCTGGGGACACACCACCACCTCGCACCAAAGGTCTCACAGCCCCCAAACAGCCAGGTGATACCACAGAGCTGAACAACATCTACGACAATGAGCTGTTCCTGAGGAAGGTGAGAGCCTGGACCAGCAGTGCTGGTGGTGCAGGGAGGTGTGTGCAGCACGGGCAGAGGCCATGCAGGTCGGCAACCCCTCAGGGCACCCGCACTGGCAGCAGTGACACAGAGGAGCAGCACAGTGAGCTGGGAGATGACAGAGTCTACATCAACAGCTGATGCTCAGAGAGAAGAGGATTCCCTGCAGTCCTAATGGGACGTCGCTTGTGGGCATGGCTTTGGGCTTTGCTCCAAGTGGGGCAGGGAGCTGCAGTCCCTCCCCCGTGTCCTTGCTGCAGTCTCAGCAGTGTGACAGCCTCTGCCACGGGGCTCTGACCCTGCTCCAGCCCAGTTCCCTCCTCTGCTTTGCTGCTGTGGATTGAGTAGTGCCCCAAGGATAGGAGGAACCCAGATCCCCATTCCTTCGTATGCTGATGCATGGGGCATCCTCCTGGCTTGGCAGCACGTGGGTTGCTTTAGGTGTATGTAAACTGCAATAAAGAAATACCCTACAGAGCTTAGATGGGGCGATCCTGAAGTGATACAAGGACCACGACTGGTGCTGGGGCTGTGTCAGCGAGTGGTCAGGGTGAGCAAGGAGAGGGGAATGGAAACAACACGGGAGCAAGGAAAGCCAGAGGTGAATGGGAATGGGGCAGCAGCTGAGGCTTCACTGCCCAGGCTTCCCCATGAGGTTTACAGCAAAAACACGCTGGCAGTCATCAGCCACGTCTTGAACTTAGAACGTGCTGCTGCGTGCAGTGACCTGGGGCAGAAGGGTGGAAGCAGCTCACAGCCACTGCCCCAGATCCCTGGGAATGGGGCTACGAAGAGCAAAATGCAGAGCTTCCTCTTTCTGTGCCAGGGAATGGCGTGGGAGGGCATGGGGCAAATGGGCAGGACGGGAAGGAGCTGCCCTGAGGTCTTTTCAAGGGGCATTGAGGAAGAAAGCCACTGGAAGGACACAGCCATGCTTTGTGCAGACTGTTTGGGTTCTGAAATTTTGCTGGAAACATTTAGAGAGAAAAACAATGTCACCCAGAAACCACATCTGTGCCAAAAGAGGCATCTTTTTGGGGAAGCAAGGTACTTCTGCTTGATGAACCAAACAAAGGCAGCCGCCCTCGCTGTGCCAGCAGTGGGGGATCTGTGCCAGGGGTTTGCACTGAGCTGGGGTCTGGGGGCGGCACAAGCCCCTCTGCTGGGACCCCGAATCCCTCTGGGCTGCTGGGGTGGGCACCATGACTGGGAACACTCTCTGCATTACGGTGTTTTGCTGGAAACTGGTGGTGGTTCCAGAGAAGGATCATGAGATCAGAATGACTCACGGATAGGAGGAAGGAAGCAAATGCCTCTAAAAAAGACATACGGGGTCTCAAGCAAACACTGCCCAGGGAAACAGGCTTGGGAACCTCTGGGGCACACAAGCACACACCAGCCTGCTCCATCCGCCAGGAGCTCTGTGAATCACCACAGGGAAAAGTCCGTGTCAGGAGGGAGAAGCTGAAAAATGAGGATTATCCTGGTTTGGATTATTTTCCCAGGTAAGTATGGATCATGCTTGGGGTCAGGGGAGGCAGAGGGGCTGCAGCCATGCAGCCGGGGATGCACACCATGCTGTGAGACACAGCTCAGTTGCCACCATCCTCCCCTGGCATCTGCAGCACCCGGACAACTCCCAGCCTACGCTACGCCTTGTATTGCTGCTACAAGAGGCTTCTTCTGGCTTACCACCGTGCTCACTGGGGGCTCTGTTCTTAAGGCTGGGGACATCTCTCTGCACTGGCTGAGCTCACAGCACCTATCATGTTCCCTGCAGGTGTCTGGGCAGTCTCAGGTCCCTCGCAGGTGACAGCCCGCTGGGGCAGCTCGCTGTCGGTGTCCTGCAGCTATCAGCTGGGCAACAAGCTCCATTCCAAGGTCTGGTGCAAATCATACTTTTTCAAGATCTTCTGCACCTACATGGCCCAAACCAATGGCTCAGAGGCGGTGATGACACAGGGCAGGGTGTCCATCAGGGACAACCACACAGCACTTGTGTTCACGGTGACGATGAGAGATGTGATGCCGGAGGATGCAGGCTGGTACTACTGCGGGGCAGTGAAGTCCTTGTGGCGCAAACAGTGGCACAAAACCGAGGTGCTCGTGTCTGAGGGTAAGGCAGAGGGTGCCCGGGGCTGGTGCTGGAGGAGGCAGAGGGAGGATGGAAAGCATTGCACAGAGCAAAACCTCTCTCTCCCTCCTTGGTAATGTCTCTGCTCCTCTGAGCCCACCCTTAAGGTTTCCAGTTCTCTCCAGCAGAGACTCTTCTCTTTCTCTGGCTCCTGGGTGTGCCTGCACCACATCACAGCAGTGATGCTCTTCTCTTGCATAACATTTCTCCAAGTAAAACATAAACATTCTGTTTCAGAGCATTGTGCCATCAGTACTTCCACTGTGGTTTTTTTCTGCAGCGCTCAGCACTTTCCGCGCCCACAGGGATGGAGCTGACCCTGAGCAGCAGTGCTGTGCTGGGTGCTGGACTGGAACAGGGTGATGCCCACGGAACCTAAAGGGCCACAGACCCCCTCTATCTCCTCCAAGGTCCCTGGATGGTGACTCAGGGATGGGCTGTGTGTCCTGCACTGACTCTCTGCCTTCTCTACACTTGTTTCAGCCACAGCCGAGGCCGGTGATGTGCGCCCACTGGCAAAGGCAGACCCACCCCCCACCGGCTGTGAGGAGCCTCCAGCACTGTGAGTTGGGGCTCAGGGTCACACTGGCTGAGGCCACTCCCAGGGCATCCCGAGGGTGAGCGGGTGGATGCTGGGCATGGGGATGCTGCAGCCCGCATCTTCCTTGCCCAGACCTGGTAAAGCTCTGTTGTTATCCTGCCTCTCCTCCCCAGGTCCCAGCTCGACATCACCCTCCTGCTGCTCTTCCTCGGTGTGAAGGTGCCTGTGATCCTGGCCCTGCTGTGCGGAGCCATGTGGCTGAGGAAGTGGCACAGGAGCTGCAGCCTAAGGGAAAACCTGCAGCAATCTGAGAAGTCCAGCAGCGCTGTGGCACTGTGCAGCCTGACCCCCCAGCAGCCTGACCCTCCGGCAGCACCACAGCATCCTTCTGGTCCCCTTCCCCACTCCCTGCCAGGGCTGAGCCACTGGAGCTGCTCAGCATCAGGTAGCTCTCTCCCTGCAAAGCCTCAGCCCCTCCTGTTGCCCCCCAAGTTGCACAAAGGAAGGATTGCTGTGCTGAGATCCCGTGTCTGCTGAGCTTGAGGTACCACCAAAAAGCAATTTTGAAACAAAGCCTGGGTATCCTGCAGGTGTCCGTGTGTCTGTCTATCTCCAGCACTGGCTGGGGCTCCAGGGGCTGCCAACACAAACGTGCGGAGCTGTGTTGCCGGGAGCCCCAGCTGGGGGGACATGGTGTCAAATGGGAGCTGTGCACCGCAGCCTGACTGAGCTGCCCACAGTTTCAGTCAGGCAGGACTGTCCATCCTGAGCCCAGAGCTCACAGCACACACGGCTGCAGTGCTGCCTCCTCCCCTTGCTGCATCCCATCCATGGCTCTGCATCCATCCGCTGCTGAGCTCCATTACGGATCACATTCCTTCCCATGCTCTGTGCTTGGCGGCAGCAGGAGCAGTGCTACCATTCATGTGGGGCCCTTCAGTGCACACTGAGTCTTCTGCCAGCACATTTTTAGTGTCACATAAGATAACTTGCCCAAACAGAGCTGGGGGAACTCCATCACCCTGATGGAACCCCATTCCATGGGCATGCTGAGCCCAACCTGTCCGCCAGGGCAATGACAAGGTGCATGAGGGACTGGAGCTGCAGGGGGATGAGGACTGGGGATGGGGAGAGGCCTGGAGACACACAACTGAGGGAGAGGATGGGCGAGGGCGGTGTTGGGTGGGAGCTGGGCAGCGAGGCACCAGAACTGAGTGCTGCTGGTGACAGAGGGATGAAGGAAATGAACTGAGAGCAGAGGAAACCGGAACTGCACATTGCGGTCTGACTTCTGCAAGTGCCTGGCCGTGAGTCAAGCAGAAAGGGGAAGGCACAGCCCTGAAGGACAGGCACGGAGCGCGTTCTGCACGAGGGCTGCCCGGGGCACAAGAGCAGCCGGTGGGGCCATGCGGCTGCTGCCGCTGCTCTGCTGCGCGGCTCTGTGCCTCCCCGGCCGGGCGGTGCGGGGACCCGGCACCGTGATGGGATACATCGGGGAGTCCCTCTCGGTGTCCTGCTCCTACCAGAAGGGGTACGAGAAGTATCCGAAATACTGGTGCTACCCTGGGACGATTAACACCTGCTGGTATAAAACCCACATCGTCATCACCTCGGAGCAGCAGCCCTGGGCTCAGGAGGGCCGAACCTCCATCTGGGACAACCGCACGGAGCGGGTGTTCACTGTGACCATGAGGGACCTGACTGCGGGGGATGCGGGCACCTACCGCTGTGGGGTGCAGACACACGTATTGCAGAAGGATGTCTCTGACACGGTGCAGGTCATCGTGTTCTCAGGTCAGTGCTCGTGGGTCTGACGTTCCCCCCGTGCCCAAGGAGAAGTGACAGGAGCAGGGCTCTGGGATGCGGGAGGAGGTGGGCACCCGACATGGAGCTGCCCTGGGATGTGTCACCAGGCTGTGCAGGCTGCCACCATGATAGGGGTCTCAGTATGTTCCCTTTTTCTTGCCCCACCTTCAGCTACCCCCCACTCTGCAGGGCATCACCCTGCTCTCATGCTCCATTTTCACTCTGCTCTGATCCTGCTGGCTCTCCCTGTGCTTCCCTGGCCCAAATGTTGTGCCACCACGGAGTCCCTCACTCTCACCCCATTTCCCACTGAGGAACTCCAGACCCCCAGATCAGGGCCATGCAGTACCACTGCTGGGGTGTGTATGTGTGCTGGGGGGACTGGGACTGCTGGGCCCCGCTGCAGACCTGGGGAGGGGGCTTAGAGCCTCAGCCCTGGGGCTGTGCCCTATGTGCAGAGGGGGCTCCGGGTCCCCTGGGGTGACTCTGAGTGCATCACCTCCGACTCTCCCAGCCCGCAGCGTTTCCCATGGAGGCAGGCAGACGTGCTGAGCACTTCCTATTCTTTCACAGGTCCTAACCCCACATCCTCAGCATCACCCTCCACATCATCCATTTCCCCTGGCCCCATTTTCAGCTCCACATGGATGCCTCCCCAGCAGGAAACTGCAGAGCAGACCGCACGCCCCACTTCCCCTGGAGACCTCAGTGAAGGGCAGTGAGTACCACTCGTGGCCCACACTCAGACTCAGATCTCTTGCCTTTGCCTTCAGAAGGCAGCCTTGTGTCCTGTCAGACAGCTGCTCAATGCAGACAGCAATCTGGGACCTGGCAGAGACACACCTGCCTGCTGGTGTTGAGCAGCAGGAGGAAGCAACAGGTCATGGCTGTGTGAGAAGAGAGCTTGGGCTGCACTGCTGATCCCATTTCCTTCCCCATATCTCGAAGGGGTGTTTGCTTGTGGGAAGCCACTTGTGAGCTGAGCTGGGTGCTGTTCTGCTTTGCAGTCACACATGGCCTTGCAGGGGCTGCCCAAGGGCAGGATGGCAGCAGCAGAGCTTCCCCTCTCCTCCGTCTCTCGGAGGTGATGCAAGATGTGGGGAAGGCTGAGGCTCCCGTCAGTGTGCATACAGCTGATCTCCTTCTCTAAACCCGTCCCCTTGACACAGTGACCGTGCCTTGTTACTGCTGGCAGCAAAGCAGGTCACCAAACAGCACATCCAAACCAGAGCAGAACAATAGAGGGGCAGTGGCAGTGGCAATAAAGGGTTCTTAAAACACTGGAGGTGCTGCAGCTCTCACACAGTTTCCCATTTGCTGCTGCTCCTTGCAGGCCAAGGACCACCTGCCTGCTTCCTTTGCTCTCCAGGCAAGCCCCTTGCCCACAGACATGACCAAGCCGAGCAAAGAGAGCAAAGCGAGATGAACAGCAGCCACCTGTGCCCACATGCCTGCTCTGCAGTGGTTGCTGCTGGCTTTGCTGCTGAGCAGAGTGAGAGAACAGAAACTCTTTCCTCTTGCAGGTTGGACATAGTCATGGGCATCCTCATCCCATGCATTGCAGTGGTTCTGTTTTTCCTCACAATTGCTGCTACCGTTTTGGTAATTCTGTCCTGGAAGAGGAAGAAGGGTAAGCGAAGCTGTCACCAGTGCCTTTTTCTGTCTAGATTTGATGTGAATTTTGGTGCCAGCACAGGAAGGGGCAGAGGGCTGCCAGCTTTCTGGTGGGTCTGCGTTTGCTGCAGAGCTGCTTTGGGCCAGCTGCCCCAGGTCCCTTCCTGCTCTGCGGTGAGGTTGGCCGCAGCAGCGCAGGGTTTCACACACTGCTGTTCCTCTGCTTTCCCTTTTGTCTGACCATGACTGCATCTCTCTGACCCTTTGTCTGACCATGACGCAGCCCTCGCAGGAGCACCCATCGAGATGAGCAGCACTCGTGGCACAGCCAACACGGTAAGGCAAACAGCACCGGGCCCAGGGAGCTGTGCAGGAAGGGGGAAGTGCTGCACTCTGTCCTCCTGCCACCATCCCAGCACTGATCACTGAGGGCAGTGGGATGGGAGGTGCTGGAAGTGCACCCCAGCTCTTCTGGGTTGGTTGCAGGAGGTGCTGCAGTACGCGAATATCAGCCATGCGGGCACGGAGCAGAGCCATCTGTACAGCAACATCAGGGCTGCCCCTGCAGCCCCACAGGCAGCCACCGAATATTCGGAGGTCAAGAAGCCGTGCCAGGTGGGAAAGCACAAGGTGGCAGCAGGAAGAAATCCTGCTTGGGGGCTGTAATGGGGGGACCTGGTGTGGGGCAGGGCTGGGTTGGATGGGTGGGTTACAGGTGGACAATAGCCACAGATAACGAGGGTGCCCTCATGCTCTCCGATCCTGCGGCTGCGATGGGCGCTTGAAAGGGATGGAAGCGTGGATGTTCCTTGGAGGAACCACGCCAATAGTTCTTTTTTTATATTTTTTCCCTCTTTTTCCCAGAATTTGGAAAGGAATACAGAGAGCCTTTATGCCCAGGTGTGCAAAATCCCTCCGGAGGAGCAGGAACAGCTCTATGCCAACATGGCTCCCAGGCAGCAGCGTGCAGCACAGTGAGGATGAGGAGCCAGCACTGCTGTCTGCTGGAGCCGATGGCAGCAGGAGCTGCTCGGAACACTGAGACCCAGTCCAGGCATCAGGGCAGTGCTTGGGGCAGCCAGGAACCGGCTGCTTTCATAGGCTCCGGTGCTTCTTTGGTACAGCGCAAGACAGGAAGAGGTTGAGCAAGAGGGGGCAACATCACTCCCCGCATTCAGAGACCTCGTGCCCCACGTGGCAGCCGTGCTGGGAACAAAAAATAGTCCCTGCATTTGTGTGGCCCCTGGCTGGGGGAGCAGCCGGCAGAGATGCTTCCATTCGTCCTGCACGGCCGCTGGGAAACGGCTCCTCACATCCCCGCGCTCCCCAGGGCGGTCTGCCATGGCTCCGTGCCCCCACAGCCCCGCTGGGAGCCCTGCCGGGCCGCGGCTCGGCCCCCCCGCCCCTTCTCAGCCCATCATTTACTCCCGGGCACCCGCTCGATGCCTTGTTCTCCGAAAACATCTCTCCTTTCTCAATTAACGCAACCGATACTTCGGTGAGTCCATGGGTAACTCCGGGCAGCCGGGCCCCGTTCCGCCGCATCTGGGGGTCGTTCTCACAGGAGGAGCTGCCAACAGCTGCTGCCGGGGGGCAGCGCGCGCCGCGGGGCCACGAGCCGCCCGGGATCTCGGTGCAGACCGGCGGAGACCCGCAGAGCCGCCTCGCGGGGTCTGGAGAGCTCCAGCGGCGCGCCGCCCGCAGCCCCCCGCTCCGGCGGCACCGCGGGGAGACGAAGCGCGGCCCCGCACGCACGCACGAGCGCGCGCACGGCGTG